TAGCTAGTGATTTCTTACTGTTTATTTTTTAAATTTTGTATTATTTGTACCCTTTTTCTGTTTTTTTCCTTTTTCTCCTTAAATAAAAAAAAATTTGTTATTGTTTAAATGTATCACCCAAGTAAAGCACTGCTTTTTTCATTAATCTATTATTAATATAAAATTTTCTATGTGGGACTTCATAGTCGTTTAGCTTTAGGATTTTGTAATCTTAAACACTGTGCCAAGGCTGGGTGTGGTGGCACATGCCTGTAAGGCCACACTTCACAGACTGAGGCTGGAGAATCACTAAGTATGAGGCCATCCTGGGCTACAAAGGGAGTTCAAGGTCAGACTGAACTGCATAGTGAGACCCTGTCTCAAAAATCACTACTACTCTGCCCAAAAAAGCCACCACACCATTGCTCTCCTGACTGAGTCTGACTGACAGAGAAGTATTATCTCAGTTCCTGGCACATTAGCAGCTCAATACATGGCAGCAATTATTATTACTGCCTGTGGAACAGCCATGACAATATTAAAGCTACGCGATCAAAAAAATTAGCCACTGAAATTTTCACTGCTCTGTGCAAAACGTCAATTGAAATTAAATCTCTGTAAGATAAATTCACTGCTTACCTCTAGGCTTTTTATTATTATATCCTAGCCAGTGTTTGATTGCCTTTATGTATTCTTCTATTAGTTTCTACCAAAGGGGTGTTGGTTAGGTATAAAATCTTAAGCTATACCTTTTTTCCTTGAAGCTTTGGTCCAGCTTCTAGAAATGAATATCAACATTAAGAAGTCTGAAGTCAACCGATTATGATTATGCTTTAAAGTAGCACCTGAGAGGCTGAGGCAGAATGATCACCATTAGTTTGATCATTGCAAATTCAAGACCAGCCTGAGCTACAAAGTGAGCTCAAGCTCAACCTGAACTGTATAGTGAGAACTTGTCTCAAACAAAAACAAAAACGAGAGAGAGAGAGAGAGAGAGAGAGAGAGAGAGAGACTTTCCTATTACAATCCATGCATTCCATTATTGTTGAAAAAAAAGAGGATTCTGCTTTTGAGCTTCACAGTATACTCCTCACCTTGGGAAAAAGAACTCTGCTGATTCTACCTGAGCCCCACACCCCCCCACATAAGTTTCTCCATACTTTCTGCAGCACCAGGCACACTGTACAGAGCTTCTTGTAGCCATCTCGTCTGTGCTACGGCTGGCAGTTTGAAAACCCGTCTGATGGAGACCAGAGAACATGGCGGACAGACAACAGCAACTACCAGAGGCTCTCTGAAAGGTTCGGCTCAGAGGCCAGAAATAATGCGGACTAGGGAGACACGAATCAGTAGAGATATGCTCTGCTGACTCAGGAACGAACTGGGCTGAGAGAATCCAACTTGGAATACAGTCCTGGCGCTAAAATAGGAACAGAAAAATCTCGGTGTGGAGGCTCGACTCCGCGCCATCGGAAACCGGTTTGGATTTCCCGCCGTGCGGCGGCCGGCTATCTCCACAGCGGCTCAGCAAGGAGAGACGCGCCGAGCTCTGGGAGCGCCGAGCTCTGGGAACGGGAGAACGGAGTCGAAAAAAAAAAGGACGGACAGAGGTGTACACGAAAACTGACTGGTGGCGAGGTGAGTGAGAATCTGACCCCCCACCACAGTTTGACTCTAGCGGAGATCTCTCTGGGCGCCATTCCCCTCTCGGACGGGATTGGAGAAAAGTGCCTGGCCTGAGTGACGCTGCTGGCGGACTCTCTAGGCTAGACTAGCCTAACCCAGATCCCAGAGCCGGACGATGGCCCGGAGGAGCGACTGACTTCCGCGTAGGCTGCCTCCTCCGACTCCCTGGTGCGTAGCGGTGGGCGGGAACAACTAGCCAGCGCAATTTGATCAGGCTGTGGCTGACAGGCAGGGAAGCCGGGCCTCCTTTGTAAGATTGCATTTTATAAGGAACAAAAAATATGGGGAAGGGAAGCAACAAAAAAAGCTCCTCGGCCCCCAATCCTGAGAAACAGGCAATAATGGACGCCGCACCAGTATACATTAAGCACCATATTGAGAGCCTCATAGACCAATTCAGGAATGAAGTTATCAATGATCTGAAGCTAGAAGTATGCAGAATAGTTAGAGAAATGCTAAACACCACCCAGGAAAAAACAGATGGTGGAATGGAAGAACAGAAAAAGAGGGGAGAATTGCTTGATGGAGAAAACAGAGAAAGCATTGAGTATGTGAAGCAGGTTCAAAGGGACTATCAAGAAATTAATAAGTCTATACAAGACTGGCATAACAGCTTGAAAGAAACTAAGGACAGACTATCTGAACTGGAGGGCAGACTTGAAATATGGGAGAATGAAATGAAAAACTTCTTAAAAATAACAAAGAAACAAACAGCAATAATACAAAGACAAGAAGATGATAAGAGGAGCCACCACTTAAGGATTAAGAACATAGAAGAAGAAGTAGGGACACAAACAAATGAATTACAAAAGCTACTCACAGAAATAATCCAGGAGAATTTTCCTAATTTAGCAAAAGGTAAAGATACTCAGCTGTATGAGGCATACAGGACCCCAGCTACCTACAACCCTAACAGAGAAACACCCAGGCATATAATAATAAAAATCCCAGAAATTCAATACAAGAACAGAATATTAAAAGCTGTAAGAGACAAGAAACAGATCACTTACAAAGGAACACCCATCAGAATTACAGCAGATTTCTCTTCACAAACCATCAAATCACGAAGAGCATGGGGGGAAATAATTCAAGCTTTGAAAGATAATAATCTCCAGCCAAGATTGAGATATCCTGCACAACTGTCCCTGGAAATTGATGGAAAAACGAGGTGCTTCCAGGATAAAGAGGAACTGGGGGAATTTGCAACCACCAATTCAACTCTACAGAAAGTATTGCAGGATATTCTAAAAAAAGAAAAATACAAAGAACCCAGAAATAGTGGCAGGGAGGCCACAACGAATGGAGCAGAGAACAAAATGAAGAAGACAAACTGACAGCTACTGACAGAAAAAGAGCTCAACAGAAATGAGACAGAGAAGATTGGATGATAGGAACAGCTATTTTTGAGAAAATGACATCTTAATAGGTAATGCTGATTCAGTACCATCTTGTTTTGAAGTCTCATCTAGCTTTTGTTCTTCTGTCTCCAATGGTCTAACCAGGTTGTATCTTATTGGATTTTGTTATGTACGTTAGTATAAGCAAAAACCTTTTAAAGACAAGGAGATTATACAGAGACCATTGTTCATTTTCTGTTAGTCAATTCCAAATACTCTATAATGCTGTCATTCTCTTAAATGGTTTTACATTGTTTTGATATACTTAATGCTACAGTATATGAAGTTGTACTCAAGGACTTCAGGGAGGGAGTCAATATGGTAACTATTTTTAAGTCGGAAATATCTGGTGGTGAAACACTATTCTGCTTAAAAGGTTATGTTTTGATCTGCCCTGTTTCGCTGTTATGCCCTCTTTTTCTTTTTCTCAATCTCCACTCCATTATATACTTTTTTATTGTTATCCATTTAATTAAAGGGAAAAATATAGCAGGATATAATATAGTAACCCACTTTGACTTTCTATTTTCTCGATTTGAAGCCCTGTATTACTCTCACCATCTTGTTTTTGACTGAGGTTCCTCTATTCTGTTTTGCTGAATAGTATCAGGTTCGAAAGTTTAGGCATCAGCTGAGAAGATAATGAGATTCATTATAACGCCCATTCTCGTTGACTTCTATCTACTTTTGAAGACCTACAATATCTCCAATGTTTTGGTTTTGTCGGTTTTATCCTTTACGGTTTTGTTCAATAGTATTACAACTAACGATATAGGCAATTCTATTAGAAATAGCGGGAGGCATTAGGGTAACCATTGTTGATCACCTTGTATTATGTTTTTATATTATCTATTATATCCACCCTTTTGACTTGACCGATTCTGTTCTGTCATGTCACATTTGGTTTTACTCTCTTCCAAAAAAGCAATAAGAACAGTGGGAGCAATGAAACCCAAAATGTGTAATAGTCACTGTACAAAAGAGAGGAAAAGAAAATGCTCTAAACTATATAACTGCATGTATATTTAAATGTATAAGACAGAAAATGATATCACAGAGTTCTAATGGATCATTGAACAGAACTGTTTGCAGTATCATTGCTGGAAGGTCCACTCTACAAACTTTAATTCTGTGACTTGAACAATTATTTCTAAGATGGCAATATGTAATCTATTAACTAGTGATTTCCTACTGCGCATTTTTTTTCTTCTGTAAATCTGTATAACTTGTACCCTTCACTGTTTTTTTTTCTTTTCTTTTCTCCTTAAATAAAAATTAAAAAAAAAAAAAAAAAAGAAAACCCGTCTGATCCACTAATTTGTCAATATGAAGTTTACTTTTTTTTTTTTTATCCTCTTTGTTGCTCTGAGTTGATTTCAGAGGTAACAGAAAAGTGTCAAGAATACTTTGCTACATTCCACTTGGAAATTCTCCACAGAAGCAAGTCCTTATTACAACCAGGTCTCCTGTCACCTTATGACTTCTAAAGCACTATCTGTGTATTTTCTCCCTTAGAAATGCTGTATACATGCTAATTATTAGCAACCAAAGCCTAAAAATGTTTCATGCCTGCCTTACCCAAGGTCAGAGCTGGTAAGAACCCAGGCTCTTGATTTCTGGTCCTGTGCTCTTATCACACTACACATCCACGCATCCTAGGCCACAGATCTCAATTCACCTTCCTTCTTGTACACTAACTACCAGAAGCGATCTGAGAATAATATTTTTTTTAGCACTTTTTTTTTTCTTTTTCCTTTTTATCAGTACCAGGGATTGAACTCACGACTGCCTGCTTGCAAGGCAGGCACTTATGCCGCTGAGCTAAATCCCCAGCCCCTATCTGAGAATAATATTTAGAAAAGACTAAGAAACCACAGAACTGATAATGTCAGAGGTGAGGAAGAAAGATGACAGAAAAGCAAGTTTAGTTCTTATTACCTGGCTTAGTGTCTGTCACTCCTTCCATGAGAACTAATCCTACTGGTCGCTGACAAGCGATGCTGCAGAAGCGGAAACGTAGCAGGAAGTCTCGGCCATACTTACGCCTCTCTGTAAAAGCCAGTGAAAGAAAGAAAAGCAAGCTGGATCTTCCATCTGGCTTTGCAGACAGATTTTTCCAAAAGCCTTGACTTAAAATTGTTCATTTCACTGGTGGCCATGCAGAGACAATGAGAAAAACAGGGGAACTTGCTGTAAGGAGATGACACTTGCTCTTGTCTTTGAGGAGCAAGCGTTCTCCCAAATGGGGCATGAAGACACAGCCAACCAACAACGTGCCATGTTCTCACCTGATCTTTTCGGGTGACAGGAGCTGACATACTGACAACAATCATTGATACCCAGGGAGGTAGGCCACAGTGGGGCCTGCAACTTCCGCTGGTAAAGCTGATGGGAAAAGTCTTCCTGTCCAGATACCTACAAGGAAAGGGCAGGGTAAGAATAAGGAAAATGAGATAGAAAAAGAAGCCCACGATTGGGACATATGGACAAATACAAATACATAAAATCACACACTATATACATATAAGCAAGCCACGTGAGTTTCAAGGGAAGGTTAAAAATAAGGAGCTAGTTAAAAGCATTCATTTTTCACTAGACATTCTGAAATGTCCATGAGACATGAAGGAGGGGTAAGAAAGTAAGGTGCGAGTCAAAGAGAATAGAACTGTATGAGCATGTGGTCCTAGGTTTCACCTTGGAAAAATATGCACAGTTCTCCACAGAGAATACCAACTCTCAAGGACTTCAACTTGCAAAAGGAAGACATTTACCCTGATCTTTTGATCTTCTAGACCAAGGCTGAATATCTTGAACCTACTATTAAGAAACCACAAGATCAAAGCAAATGGGAAATGTACCAAAGCACTTTACCGTATCTATGTCACCATCCTTGATCAAAGCCATGAGCAGCCTGGAAATGGACAGAATGCAGTAGGGGAAACATTGGACAGCATCAGTCACCTGCATAACTCTAATGTGGTAGCAACATTCCCTTTATTTCATTTAACAACAACGAATAGTTGAATCCCAGTTATGTGTAAGATACTATTATCAGTGATGAGGACAGAGCAGTGACATATTTCCTCTGCCCTTACAAGGCATAAACTTTCAATATGTCATCTGAAATAAAACAGACCTGAAATTTAATGGCTATTTAATAGCTGTGTACAGTAAAAAATAAAAAAGAACCTTAACAATTATTACAAATTACTGCTTCATTTTAACCAGGTACTTTTAGAAAACATTTTACATGTGTTTATTTAATGCATCAAAACAACCAAATCTGATATAAGTCCCATTACTTCCACAATATACAGATGAAATAAATAGGGCTTAAAAAGTTAAACAATGGCAGTGCGCACCTGTAATCCCACCACTCTGAGAGGCTGAGGCAGAGGGTCACAAGTTTGAGTTTAGCCTCGGCAACTTAGCAAGACTCTGTCTCAAAATTTAAAAAAAAAAAAAGTTGGGGATGTAGTTCAATGAGAAGGCCCTAAATTTAATCCCTGGTACCAGAAAAAAAATATAAAAGAAAGAAAGAAAAAGTTAATTAATTTAGCGAAGCATAATGGCACACCCTGTACTCCAGTATGCTGGAAGGCAGAAGTAGCAGAACTCTAAATTTGAGCCCAGCCTGAGTGAACTATCAAGATGCTGTTTCAAAAAAAATAAAAAGGGATAGAGAATTATATCCATATAAAATCCCTGGGTTCAACTCCCAGAACTGCAAAAAAAAATAAATAGGGCTTCAGACGTAGCTCAGTGCAAAGGTCCTGGATTCAATTCCTGGTACCACAAAAACAAAAAAGAAAGCAGGAGGGAAGGGGGAGGGAGGAAACAAGCAAGCTAGTTTGCCCAAGGTGGCAGAATGAGGATTCAAAGTCAGGACTGTCCGGCTTTAAGCGAATTGTTTCAGTGCCTCCCATGTGACAGGCTGTTGGCAAATTCTTTTTCCCATTCCCTGAGTTGCAGTTCCTTTAGAGCAAGATAAAGCCCTGCTCTAAGCAATTAAGACATTACTGGTTCTTGAGTAAACTCATTGAAACAGAAGCTCAATAATAATTCAGTTATTTTCTATCCTTTTTCCACTACATCCTGCCAAAAGCTAAGCTGGGTCAGTAGGGACACAACAGAGGTACAAAGATTCAGTGACAAGACAAAGAAATCAGCACAAGCTGATAAAACTATGAGCTATCTATACTATCACTATTCAGCAGTTAAAAGGGGTTAGTTTATATGCAAATTGTTGAATGTAAAAAACAGCCTACAAATGAAACATGTAGAACTACATCATGTTTATAAAATATATATGATAACTACATATCAGCCGTGGGGCCAGGACTCCTGCTTACAAATCCTAGCTTCCCCACTATCACTGTAGTCTAAAGCAAATTATTTGACTTCTCTGTGCCTCAGTTTTCTCACTTATAAAATGAAAGCAATGATAAAAATAGTGAAAAATACTGAGTTAATACATTGAAGTGCTTAAAATAGCACACAGTAAGTGCTTAGTAAGTAAAAACTGTGACTTGGTATCACAGGGACATAAAAATCATTGTAAATGCATGGAAAAACAATCTGAAAGAATGCCACCAGGCTTAGAACAGTCACTAGTGTAAGGCCCCAACTTATGAACAGTTGAGTAGTAAACTTTCACAGGTGTACAATATAAGATTAACAGGGTTACTGCATAAGACTCCCTTTGCTGGATTACAAACAAATCCTACTTAGAAACTTGCTCCCAGAATGGAACTCATCCATTAGTTGGGGACTTACTGTACTTGACTCCAAAAGAAAAGGGCAGGGAATTTAGGTAATAGAGGGCATTTGCCTTATTTCATGTTGGTTTTATTGCAAAGATCCATGTATCATATGTAAATTAAATGTATATTAATGATCAAAAACAGGCAGGTTTTTATTATGTCAGTGGTACTCCTGAATTCCTAACTTCTGGGCTTGGGCACAAGCTTTGCAACGTAAGAGAACCCAGGAGGGAACCGGAACAGGCCCAACTGAGTCCCTGCTACAGAAGCAGAACTTGATGCCCACACCTAACTCTCTCCCTACACTGTGTGTCCCCCTCCCAGTACCTCTCTCTCCTCACCTTCCAGGCTGGCATCCCATTGTAGTGGAGCTCTCCGTCTCTGATGAAGTTGTAGAGAGGCGAATTAGGGACAGAATTCAGGTCCCCACACAAGATGATAGGACAGTGGCTGCCATCTGACAACCTGGCCACTTTGTCCACTTCAGCCAGGAGAATGGCCATCTGAGCCAGCTTGACATCACCCCGTCGTGGGTTGTACAGGACATGGGTATTTGCTATACACAGGGGGGCCACTGAGACTTGTCCCAGGCCTTCTGGGACTAGTGGCTGTAGCAACAACACTAAGCCCACATTGTCCCGATTGAGGAGCTCCAAGCCAGGCCGGAAGTACTCCACAGGGCTGGCACAGAGCAGACGAAATCTGGTGGGCTTGTAGCAGACAGCACAGCCATCCATCTTACACCCAGTCCTCCTCTTGTAAAAACAGGTAAAGCCTACAAGGAAAACCCCATCGAGGAAATAAGTCAGAGTCCTTGAAGTCTGAGTCCCTTCCAACCAGTGTGACAGCCCAAGCTGTGTGCATGAAGGTACTGTTCCTGCTGCTCAATAAGGGGAGCCTTTCTCCTTTATACTTCCCAGGTCCTGCAGAGATTTCCTTATAACTGTGACCAGGTGGCTGAAGGGCTGGAAGGGGAAGGAGGGAGGGAAGGGTATGAAGCAGTATAACAAACATGACAGGAAGAGCAAAGAATCTTGAGTCAGACAAGGTGGAATCCTGGTTCTATAACCTACTAGAGCTTTGTAGTTTTATGATTTTGAGCAAGTCACACAAACTTTCAGAACCTCATTTTCTTATCTTTAAAATGGGAAGACAACACTCAGCCCCACGTTACTTAGAAGATTAAATGGTTAATAGAACTACTTTAAAAACTGAAAAACATGACTTTCTCACACATGAAAAGAACTAGCTCACACGTGCGACGGAGGGTTTACTAAGCTATGGAAGGAGTCCTCAGGAAAAAGTAAGGAGAGCGAGCTGAAAGCAAAAAGGCTGGAAAAAGGGCCAAAGAGCTGCAGTACCCATCATTCGCAGAGCCGGCTCCAGCTGCTCCCAGTAATGGTCTTCCTGGACTTCCTGGAGACACAGGATCTGGGAAATTGACAAAAAACCAATCACTCCAGAATGCTGGAATGTGATTCCCACTCCCCAGCAACAGGCACCCCAGGGCAGAGAGGAGGCTGTGAAGATCTCAGGTAGGGTCACACTGAGACTTCCTGTACAACTGACTCCCCAGACAGCCACCACCACCAGACTTAAACTAAGGAGGTCAGAGAAGCGCATTAAATTTTCACGCTCCTTTAATTCATTGAGTTTCCCTCCCTGCATAAAGATGCTGGAAACTGCACACACAACATCTGCCATAAAACTCCCTGACTCTAGGCAGACAAGCTCCAGCCCTAGGCAGGACCGTATCATCTGAAGAATATGGCACTGAACTCACTGTCCGAAAGCATCAGGAAATAGTACAGATGGCCCTGCCCATCTTTTACTCACATCAGGGTCCCAGTGCTGGAATTCCTGCATGAGGTTTGCAAAGCGATAGTTCCAACTGAGGATGTCCGGATGGCAGTGCAGATAGAGCTCTGAGCTCTGCTGCATCAGGTCCTGGGCCAGGATATTATAAGACATCAGAGTGAACTGGAACTGAGGGCCATCGCCTGCCTCCAGACCCTGAGCATCTGGCTGGGTGGAGAAATCCTCCCATTCTCGCCACAAGATTTCTGCAAAGTAGTTAAGGTAGAGACCCATGCATGATGAGTCGAGGTTATCCAGAGGCCACCCCATCTCCTCCCTGACTCAGTAATATTATTCCTGAAGTTTCTTTTTTCCATCATCCCTGTCACCCCATCCCTCTCTGGTGATTTGAACAGCATACTACAGACATTCTTCAGAGTAGCCAGCATGCTTCACCAAGCCAGTGACCATCTTGACTGGTCCACCACTGCATCCCCAGTAACTACCACCCAGTAGATGCTCCAAAAGTAGCATTGTCTGACAATCTCTTACTTTTGATATGTCCATAAGTCTCTGGAGAATCACTTAACTGGGTGTGTTTCATAGTAACCTAAAGAAATTTCTAGAGTAACTTCAGCCTTGTATACTTTCTGATCATTAACCCTATTTATAAGATGGGGCAGCTTGGTGGATTTCAAAACTGCTTGGGGCACTTAACTTTCTTCAAGTTTTAATGGACTCCCAATATGTAATACAAATAAAACTGAAGCTATTAACCAGAAGGTAGAGAGACCCTGAAACCTTTCCATATTACTCCCAGAAAGCCCTTGAATCACCTCTGCAGATACAACAGTGTGGAGAATCAGAATTAGGGTTCAGTCTGTGCTTCTGCTACCTAGCTGTGACTCCAGACATGCCTCGCTACTCTCTGCATCTCTTATTTCATCTGCAAGTCTATAGGGCTGGACAGGGTGATCTGTAAGACCTCTTAAGACTTGACACTGGGAGATTTAGCTCAGCAGCGTAAGTGCTTGCTTGGCAAGCTCGAGGTGTGAGTTTGATCCCCAGACCAAAAAAAAAAAAATACTTGACACTGCAAGGTCTGCAGGAAAACACACAGGTGGCCAAGCTCCCCACCACACAATCTCCTCCAGTACAGATGGCTACCCTGGCCCACTCAGGTAGTGGTCACACTCACCATGGTATGGTATTTCCATCGGGGGAGGCTGCAACTGCCCCAAGCCTTCAAAGGACCAAATGGAATTCTCTTGCTGGGCCACTGGCTCGGGTGCTAGGCTCCAGGCCACCACTGCAGGGTCCTCTTCCCACTGCTCTGTAGCCAGGGCACCAACTGGGAGGACAGCACAGTCTGCATACTGGGAGCCTGTCTGCACAGGCACAGCTGCCCACAAAGGGGCCTCGACCTCTGACACTGGCACCTCTCCTAGCACCTGAGGAAAAGGCTCCTCCAGGGTCTCTGCTGCCCGAAGGTCACTCAGCTGCCTGCTGGACCACTTGTCCTCTGAAGCAGCATCCTGTTCTCCAGGATTATCCATCAGGAATGCCAAGCTGCTCTGGGCTAGTGCCTTATCTGCAAGAGGATCCTCACTCACAGTTGACAGCACCTGGCTCGACCCTTCTTCTCGCCACTGCTGCAGCAGGCCCTCACACTCCTCCTGGTCAAGGCCCCGAGGGGCCATGGCAAAGTTACCCTCTACCTGGGGGGACGAGCTCTTCGCCAGAAGGGCATTTTTTCGACATGTGAAGAAAGCATCTAAGAGGAAAGCAAAAGTAGCAGGTTGTAAAAAGATGGCATCACACTACCCACACTCTTCCTCCAGCTAAATGTAATCCTTACATGAGTAAGAATTGGGGCTGGGGATTTAGCTCAGAGGTGTAAGTGCCTGCCTGGCAAGCATGAGGTCGTGAGTTCATTCCCCGGTACTACAAAAAAACAAAAAGGAATCCTATCTACCTCTGGTTCTAAAAACCATACTGCATTAGAATTAATCCTTGAGCATAAACTAGAACTGTAAGTTCAGTCTAGTACCAAAATTAAAACTACCTAAACTTGCACAGTGTTCCAATTCAGACAGACTTACAGTTATTTTTTTGAGACAGAGTCTCATTATATAGGTCAGGCTGGCCTTGAACTCACTATGTAGCCCAGGCTGGCCTCAAACTCACAGTGATCCTCCGAGTGCTGAGGTTGGCGTGTGCCACCACAGTGATAGGCTTGACTTGATTATAAAATGAGGACAAAAGAAGTTTGGAGTAGATAATCTCTCTGAGTTTTCTAGCTCTATAAAAACTCCCTAATCTACGAGTGCAATCCAAAAGAAAAAGTCCAGAGTAGACAGTCTCAAAAATTTATACACCTTACTTCTTAGCAAAAGTTCTTGAGCTTCTTCTCGAAGATATTATTCCAGTCATAAAATTTTCACACATTTCATTATCTGTTTTGCCATTCTCCAACACATCAGAAGTTGTGAAATAGAAGATGCCAACAACTGACAGTTAAGAGACAGCTGTCATCTCTCTGCTACAGCAGCAACAAATGACAGCCAACAGGCAAAGCAGGTGGGAAAATATCTAAAATTAGAAGTTCAGAACCCCAAACACAGTATTTCGGTGAGGGCAAATAACCCCCCACACTAAATCACTTACTTATAGCACAGGACAAATGACATACACAATGATGACCCACATTCATGAGATTAAAATGGCTCAAATATTGAAAGACAGCTTAAGTATTTTGTGTATGGCCTGTGTCAATGTATGCCCCTCTAAATCAGTAGTTTTCAGTAGGGGGCAGGAGTTGCACTCAGGGCACATTTAGTAATGTCTAGAGATTTTTATGGGTGTCACAATTGTGGTAGTTACAGGACAAGGATGCTGCTGAACATCCTAAAATGCACAGGACAAACCCACAAATGTTCTGACCCAAAATTTCAACAGTGCTGAGACAGAAACTCTGTTCTAAACCCAGGGGCTGGGTTGTTGGGCTTGCGCCTCAGAGACTTGCCAATTATCCACCTCTTGAAACCTCCCCTATGTATGCATACCATATGGCAGAGGTTGTTTGGCTTAAATGCATGAGGTCACCAGCTTTCAAATGTAGCTAATTTTGTAGATGGTGTTGGCTTGCCCCTCAAAAACAGAATATTTTTATTTTTTAATCTCATTTTGCTAGGCATAGTGCACACCTGTAATCCTGGCACTCAGGAAGCTAAAGCAGGAGGATCACTGTGCGTTTAAAGCCAGCCTGGACTATATAGTGACCTCAAGGCCAGCCTGGACTACATAGCAAGACTCTGCCTCCAAAAGAAAAAAAAAGTTATTTAAAAACCAAATATGCAAAGTTAATATAAGTATGGGTTAGGAGAGTCTCCTTTAATGTCCCTAGAACTCTACTATTCTGGAAGCAGCAGGACTAGTATGTGTCACTATGGCTGCCACTGTACACTGGATGTGCTCCAAGCTATCATAGCAACATAGTTAAAGGAATATGCTGAGTTCTCTGAAAAACAAGAATTTCTGTAGGGCTTCCCATTCCTAAGAAGTATGACACACAGGACATTTCCGAATTCTTTGAGTATCTACATATACCAGGCAGAGTTAGCACTAGGTGCAACCAACAAATGTCCATGGCTCTACCCTCCTCAAGCTTGCAGTCTAGTGGCAGACACATAATAAAAAATACATGAAACATCTATTATTACACATACAATATGTAAAGTTCCAGAAAAAAAAAAAACATGGGATGCAGTTGGTCCCCTTATTTCTAAATATTTCTTGATCCTGTCCCCTGAATTGCAGAAGAGTCTGGAAATCTGCAGGATCTCAGAGACAAAACGATGGTCACCAAAGAGCGTCTGGAATTTCAACGCCCAGGGACAGGGAGTGCAGACGGGTTATGAGAAAGTAAAGGAATAACCCTCCCTCCTCTCCCTACAGTAACGGCGGCCGCGGCGCCCGCTCCACCGTATGTCTTCCTAGATACACAGCCAAAGGCTCGGGAGCAGCTGGTAGGCGGCCGCAAAGCGGCGGGGAGACAGGCGCACCCCGCACTTCAGCCCAGCGGCCCCCCAGGCCGCCACTTTCTCCCGAAGAAAACGGCAACTCGCCTCGGCCACGGTACCAGCCTCCCGACGCCCGGGGCAGTGACTCGGGCGACCCCACAACCTCTCAGAGCACCCCACAGCGGGGCGGGGAGCGTCGGCTGCCCAGGCCCCGGTCCACGTTAACTGTGGCCCGACGTCACCAGGCCACCGGCAGAAGGGGGCTCGCCCACGAGAGTCGCAGACCGGGCCTCGCGGGACCCGCACGGTCCCGTGGTGCGGGTCAAGGACTGCCTCGCACACCCTGGCACTGTCAGAGACCCTAGTGGAGAGGGCGGCGCTCCGCAGCCTCCCCGCAGGGCCCCAAGCAGCAGGCCGGACCGGGCCTCTGCCAGTCAGGACGCGGGGCCGGTACCTGAGATGGCGCGGAAGAGGCGCGCGGCCGGCAGCAGCAGGTAACACAGGCACGATGCAATCATCGCCGGCCCTGTCCGCAGCTGCCCCGTCTCCCTCCGCTTTGCCCCGCCCCACCACGGCCAAGCCACGCCCCTCGCCGCCCAGGTCCCGCCCCGGCAGGCTCACGTGTGCCGCGGGCCTCGGGCCACCCGCTTCAACAACAACTTTATTGGTATCTCAGGGCTGGGCGCGCTGCCGGAGGTGGGAGGAGCGGGCTCCCATGGCAACGGCCGACCCGCAGCTCTTCTACGGCTCAAGTGCGCAGGTTTAAAGTTGAGTACCTCGCTAGAGGCTCATAGTACCATTCTGAAGCACAGTTTTATTCCCACTTCAGCTGCCAGCTGCATGTCTCCCTTCTTGCTACCATATGCCCTTTCTGCTCTTCAGTTTCCTCCTCTGCAATATAAAGGCCTGGGCTTTCTCTAAGGTTCCTCTTAAAACTAATTTCTACACTCTAGCTCTTAGCCCAGAGTGGAGCAGAAGCCAGCTCTTCCCCTCTTTCCTCTCGTGTCATGATTGTTTCCCCAGCTCAGATTCTAGGTCATAAATTGAGTCCTCCCTTGCTTCAGCACAAATTTTTGTCTTTTTCACCACCTGTTCCAAATGGGTCTCCCCCTCCCCAATATGGACAAAAGAGGGTGTCTAGCAGGTGAGGATGGATGGAACGAGGAAGAGAGGGAGGAAGGAAGGGACTCCATAAGGCCCCGGGCGCTTGTCTGATGGGTGGCTTGTTTGCCTTGAGTTATCTCTCTAGTGCCTAATACTGTGCCTTGCTGGCTGTGAGGATCCATGATTGAACCAAGTTCTTCCTTCAATTCTGTGTTTCTCAGAGACCTCGTTGAGCATCTCTTTCCCAGTTCCCACCCTCCATCTTATGCCCAACCATTCTGTGAAGAAGAAAGATTATGAAATACACCCACTTTCAGCGTGATTTCCAATTTGTGGCTGGAGCCTTGGTTGTTCAGGGAAACCCTCTGGGGAGTCGCCGGATCCTGGACCTGCTGGATACATCTTAATACAAAAGGGCTAAAAAGAGGAAGGGGAGAGTCAGTGACCTTTTACTTCCAAAGATGGCAGCATCTGCCTCCAGCAGCAGCCCCCATCCCCTTTTAATCAGAGGTCCCGCAATCAGAAGGCTGAGGAGCCACTTAGAAACCACAAATGTCAGCTCCATCTGAGGAGCTCAGGGTCAGGCCCATTCCTTACACATGGTTCACCTAACCACACCTTGTAACCACCTCGCGTTTGGTACCCAGAGGTCCAAGTCCCAAATCGGATATTACATCAAAGTACTTATCTGGAGTCTTATGTGTATCATTTTGTAACAGCTTCTTTATCTACTTGAAAAATGCTTTTAGAATACATATTTGTATGTATCCTAACCTTTCACAGATGTGGGATTGAGGCTTTCAAACGCTCACCAAGTTATTCTGTTGTATAGTTCAGATGCCTCTGGGAGGAATCCAGCCTCAGCTGTACTATGCAGAGCACAGGTGTGGGCCCAGTACAACAGGCCAGCTGATGCCATGGTCCTTCAAAGGCTTTTCTCGAGATCAACCAAGTGAGGCTTCCCTGTGTTTGTTTTCTGGCCCACAATCAACTATGTTGGAAAGCATAGGGCCAAAGAGAGAATCACAAGCTGTGAAATTAGGCCACTTTGAGTTCAAATCCCAGCTCTGCCACTTGCTACCACTGGAACCCTTTCAGGTTACCTAACCTCTTGGAACCTCACTTTCCTAACCATACCTGGCCCAGGGAAGCTCTCACTTGTTTACTATGATATTTTTTTTAACTTGGGCAAAAAATCAGTTTTGGTCACTGTGGTCTAAATAAGACCCCTACGCTCCAGGTTTCAATATAGCGTTGCTAAGCAAGCCAGTCACTGCCGAATGGAATCGGCTGATTCCAATGGAGGGTTGCTGGCCTGATGAGAGGCAACCTCAGGCTTTCCCGGCAAAAGAAAAATTACAAATATACCATCTGGGGCTGGGGATTTAGTTCAGCGGCATAAGCGCCTGCCTTGCAAACAGGCAGTCGTGAGTTCGATTCCCGGTACTGATAAAAAGGAAAAAGACAAATATATATATATATATATATATATATATATATATATATACCATCTGCAGTGTTTCCAGCCTCATCATGTTAGAAATAATCTAAGACAGGGATGAGCTCCTCAACTTATCCTAATCTTGATAACAATGACTGCAGTCAGGAGCATAGTTTCAAGTTACAGAGCCTATCTAATGGGGCAAAGATCTACAGTACTCTGGAGGATTTAAAATGTTTTCTTGAAGGGGCATTTCCTGTGCACAGGAAACTTAAGGCCCTCAAGAGCGCAAATTTTATGACCACAGTATATATAGAAGATAACAGGCCAATGCCCTTATGAACTTGGTTTCATCTGTGCAGTTTATGGAGGCAACGTAATGACTCCTCCAGGACTGCGGAGAACCTTGACCAAGGCCTGGAGCAGTGCTGTCCAAAAGAAAAATAATGTGGACTGCACATGTAATTGCAAATTTTATGGTAGGGTCTGGGGGTGTGGCTCAGCATCAAACACTTGCCTAGCCACCCCCATATATATATTACATATATACAGTAAAAATACTCTTAAGTAAATAATGCAAGTAAAATTAATTTTAGTGATGTTTCATTTAGCCCTACAGACCCCAAAAGTAGTTTTTTTTTTAATGTAATCAAGCCAGGTATAGTGGCACATGCCTGTAACCCCAGCACTCGGGAGGCAGAGACAAGATAATGAAAATGAATTCCAGGCCAGCCTGGGCTACATAGTGAGTTTAAGACCAGCCTGAACTGTATGGCAAGACCTTGTCTCAAAAAACAAAACAAACAAACAAAAGTAATCAATATCTTAAATGATATATTTTAATTCTTTTTTAATACTTGGTCTTTGAAATCCCACGGTTTTTCTTTTGTTTTGTTTTGTTTTTGCTGTGCGTGAACATCGCATCTCAATTTGGACTAACCACATTTCAAGTACTAAATAGCTAGAAATGACTTATGATGAGTGACTTTCATTCTAAACCAGTACTTGTCTACAGAACTCATCCTGTCCAATAGGACAGGCTGAAAAGAACTGTGTGTCTGCAACTCATCACTGAACCACCTCACCCCCACTTCTCGAAACTTGGCTCCTCTGAACCCAGCGTTGTTTTCTTCTAGGTCTCAGGTGTTCCCAGATTGTACCAAAATAGCTGGAGTTGAAACACTTATTCATGCACTTTTTCTTGTATTTATTAGAGTTTTACCAAGTACTCATCATTGCTTCCTCTGGCCTCGCTCTTGTCTGTCTTTGATTTGCTGCCCTACTCCCTCCCTGCCTGTTTTCATCCACTATAAAAAAGAAACAGAACCACCAAGTGGAAACTCCACACTACATGGACCAGCATCCGTATCCCGCCTGCCACTTGGCCTCTCCTGCAGTGGCCCATCCTTCCACCAGGCTCAGAATCCCATCTCTCCTCCCTCCTGGATGTGATTCCTCCACTTGTCCTTCTTTTCCTGCATTACTCCTTCCCACCAATACTGGAACCTGCTCAGTCTCTCCTGTATTCCAGAACCCTCTCTTGGCCCCATGGCCCCTCTGACTATCGCCCTGGCTACCCCTCTATCTCACCTGTCCTCCACAGCCATCTGGAGAGAGCTGTCCGCACCTGCACCCGTGCTCCTCACCCCCTTCACACTCACCCCAGGTGTAGCTCTCTCTAGGTTTCTGTGACAGCCTCATCTTGCTTCTACCATCTCTGTGCACATTCTGTGCTGAGGTCCCTCACTTTGTTCCTTTGGCCACTCTCTTTTTGCTAAGGTTGCTCTCTGGTTTCCTCTTCTCACCAGTGAAATGATTTAAAATATTGTGCATACACTGAAAACTCATGCTTTCATTTTTAAACCCAAATCCTTTTCCTGGGTCACAGATCCATAAATTCTGTTACAAATAGACCTCTCTCCAGCAGCTGTCCCTGAGGAACTCAGAAATCCAACACACCCAAAGATGTGTTCATCACCTTCTGTCCATCATCATCCTACAAAATCATCACTGCCCCAGTTCTTTGATCTTCTTTATGAACAGCAAATCATCTGTAGAGCTACTCAGATCTCCTGCATTTTCTTCTCTCTCTCTTTTTTAATCTGATCTCTCCTGAGAGTTTGACCTTCTATATATCTATATATCTTCTATATATCCTAGCGGTTTGACCTTCTATATATCTTTCCACCACTCCTCCATCAGTCCACACTGTCCCCAGAGCAAACGTTCCACTCTGCAAACCCTATTAGGAAACACTAATGCTTAAAACATTTCTGCAAAGCCTGCTGTCATCAAAACACCAGCCTTCCTGAGGAGATAGTGCATGCTTATGATCTCCGTACTTTGGATGGCTGAAGCAGGAAGGTTGTAAGTTTGAGATCTGCCTTGGCATTTAGTGAGAATTTATCTCAAAATCTAAAAAGGTGTGTGGTGGGATAGGGATATAGTTCACTACAAAGGCCCAGAATTCAGTTCCCAGTACCAGGGGAACAAAAAACAAACCCAAAGCCAAACTCATTAGCACAGCATGGGAAGCCCTTCACCGTGGACCTCTGCCCTCCTCCCTGTCTCATTTCCTAAAGCTTCCTTCCCGATGCCAGTTGCCCTCAATGAGAACTGCACTCCCACCTCATCAACAATTTGAGATTCCTCCAATATACTATGGAGACTTTATAGATGCTTTTTGTTTCTCAGCTTCAGATATTCACCCACCCTCTGCCCTCATCTGGTTACCGCTTAATCTCCATGGAGCTTCCCAGATGGCCAACCCTCATATGGACACACCACTCGATGCCCTGAAAGTGGACCAGAGCTTCCTCCTCTTAACTTCTGCAGCATCCTTGCGTACTATAAATTCAACACTGTTCATCATCTGTGCCTCTCGGTAGACTGCATAGTCTATGAAGGTGACCCTCTATCCCAGCACACAGCCCAACCCCAGAGCACTCAGTACACTGAGTGGATGAATGGGTAGATGAATGTTGAGTGGGTGGGAAAAATCATTCTTTCAGAGGAGTTTCATTTCATAAGTAAACAAGACATAAAAAAAATCCAAACTTGTGAACATGGACACATAATAGGAATTTTCTTTGCATTTTCCATTTTGCAAATGTAATCCTCTAGAAAGTGCCTTGCTTTCAAAGACTACTCCCACATCTGAAATCTGACATGATTTAAAATTACTATTTTAAAAACCCCTTGCATAAAACTAATTATTATTACAACTGATGCAATATACTGTTTCTTTATCTATTTGTTTCTTTGGTTGTGTTTCCTCATCTTGCCTTCAAATGTGGTTTCTGCCAGCTTTCTTTGATTTTTTTTTTTCCTCTTTTCTCTCCTTTGAAAAACTTGGACCTTGACTATTTGATGCCAGATAATAAGTGCCCATCTCTGCCAGGACAGTGTGAAAGCAGCCACAAACAACACTCACATGAGCAGTTGTGACTGTTTCAGCACAACTTACTTAGAAAAACAGTCACAGACAAGATTTGGCTCTTGGACTCTCCTCACCAACCCTGAAATACATCGCCTGCATGTAAACTTTTCTGAGCCAAAGGCAGCCATTGCCCCGAGGGAGGAATAAAATTGAGGAACATGCTACAAAACCTAACCAGCACTCTTTGAAAAATGCCAAGGCAATGAAAGGCAAAAACTGAGGAGTGCCCTAGACTGGGGGAGACTAACAGCGTGACAATAAAAACTGCCATGTGCAATCCGGGGGGTGGGGGGGAGAACATGAATGAAGAAATTGGTAAAATGTAACACCTCCCTAGGCTCTCTGTTTTTTTAGAGAAGGTCTTAGGCTGGGGATTTAGATCAGCGGCATAAGCCCCTGCCTTGCAAGCCTATGGTCGTGAGTTCAATCCCTGGTACTGATAAAAAAAAGAAGGTCTTACTATATGGTTCAGGTTAACCTTCAGCTCAGTATCTAACCCAGGCTGGCCTTGAACTCACAGTAATCCTCCTGCATCAACCAACTGGATTCTAGAGTTGTAAGTGTGTGCTACCAGACTCAGCTCTTCTTTTCCCTCTTAATGATGCTCTCTTATCCTCTGTACCAGGGAGGGGCCGACCAGATGCACTGAGGATCTCTAGGAGTCACATCCAGCTGACAGGATCCCCCAGTTTTCTTAGTATTAGTTCCTTGGAACCAGATGGGACAGAAGCACCAGGCTGGTGCTCTTATGTTGCTTTAAAGTGACTCATATCATTTATATGAACAGGAAATATCAAAAATATTTGCTCAGGACCAGGGATTTAGTTCAGCATCTCAAGTGCTTGCCTGGTAAGTGTGAGGTCATGGGTTCAATCCCCCGAACAACAACAACAAAAAGATAGACGATAGGTAGGTAGGTAGGTAGGTAGATAGATAGATAGATACATAGATACATAGATAGATGGATAGATAGATAATTTGCCCAGGACCCGCCATGGGTCACCCTGTCAGTATCTACAGTATCTGTATAAGCTTTGCTCAGTGGCAATATCGTAGCCAATGAGGTTTATCTGCGGCACGATTATTGCTAATTGAAAACTCTACAGTATCTTTATTGCACATACCTGTGAAAGGTCCCTGTCTTCATCATGTCTCATGCTTGTTCTACAGTGGTGCCTACCTTAGTGACTTGTAACACACTACTCAGTAAGTAAGTACTTTTAGAAGGCCTGAAGGAATGAATAGCATCTCATGTGTACATCTTTCTTTGGATCTTTGATTCTAACTATGTTTTTCCTACACAGACTTCTAGATCTGCATCATTCTTCTGAGTGATCAAAAGCAATTTTCATATTCCCAAGCCCTTCAGTCACTGACCTGACCGTCGATGCACCGAAAGCTTATGGAGAAGGGACAGACACACCTCCGATTCTCCTGACAGCAAACTGCCCCTGAACTTCACCTCCACCACAAATGAGAACAGCCAAGAGTGAGAGTGATAGCTGAGTGGTTTCAATTTAGGCAGCCCAATCCTTTGGATTGAGCAATGCTTTGGCAGCAACAAACCGTAGTGATAGAACATATGTCTGTCGTGCTTTGCTTTTTTGATCTTCAGCTCTTAAGTGGAGGATGCCCTCCCAAGGGGAAAACAAAAAAGGAAAAACTGGGTGGAAGAAAACTGACTTCACCCATCACTGAAATACTTGGTACCTGAACCATAACCATCTTGAGAGAGGAACATGGTGGTAGCTCTTCACGGTCACTGATTAGGGGCTTCGCTTTTGGCCTTGACTCAGAGAGAAATATGGCCTCACTGAGAGGTCCCCACACAGCACCCAGACACTCACAGCCAAGCCTGGGCTTGGCCCCAGCAGTCACGTGAGAAAAAGATGACTGGCCACCAGAGCCACCAAGAGGGCGGGAGACCCACCGTTGCCAAGTCCGCCTGCGTGGATCACAATGACCACATGAGGTCACAGAATGTTGAGAATGAAATCAAATAGCTCCTAAGTCACAAAGTTACGGGCAAGTGGGCATCCTTTCGACAGGGCTCTCAGGCATAGAGCTGGCCACTCTCCCTGATGAGCTGGGGAAGTCACTCCATCTCCCAGACTGAGTTGGAGTCAAGTCCATGCACATCCTCCCCCTGCCAAAGCCCTCTCTCCCTAAAGCTCACTGGGACAGAGGGATGATTTCAGGCACTCCTGGGATTTGCCTAGTCGAGGCCAGGACACACAGCTTGAGGCAGAGGTGAATGGACAGGCAGGCTTTTTAGGGAAGCAGCTGAGAGGTGACAAGAAGCAGGCAGCAGCCCTCGAGAGAGTCCTGCAGCATGGACGATGATGACGAGCCTCTTGAGGATGAAACACAAGGTGAACAAGACATCCCCCTCTCACCTCTGGGGCCCTCCTAGGCAGTGCAGCATGCACCCAGTGACCATGGGGCCCCAAAGCCTCTTCTCTCTCTGCCAGGTTCTCTCAACTAAGAACCAGGATAATGTGTACACTGATCTGGGTTCAGGGCTGGGCAAACAGTGAGACCATTCAGTTGGGTACCATGCTGCAGATGCTCATCTTGGTTCTAGCCAACTTTTATTTTCATTTTGTGAGCTGACTGCCATCACCTTTGTAGTTAGAAATCAGTCATTTGGGGAACATTTACACTATATTCATTGACCTATACAACAAAATGTGGTTTTGGGGCTTTTTTGTTTTGTTTTGTTTTTTTGGTTTGTCTGTTTTCCTAGAGAGCCAGTGGTTAAATATTTACCAGCATCCCAGGGGATGAATGCCCTAAAATCCTAAAATTGTTTGAGCAATGAGGAAACTGAAACTTAGAAATATCACATTTTCAGGGCATTTGTGGCAGTTTGGCAGTTCAGCTGCTGTATGTCTCTAAACCACCAAACCTATGATCCTTGCACCCTCACATCAGTAGACCTTGTCTCACAGGCTAGTAAATAAATGTTGGGGCTCGAGTATATAGACAAGTACTAAGACATAGTCATGCATGGACTTATTAGGAACTCTGCCATCCCAGAATCTGGGACTTCTCCCAGAAATGTTCACCTACCCAAAGAGAAGACTGACCATGTTCTTTTGGATCATTTCAAAACAAAGCCATTGAGTCTTATTGATGCCAGAGGATTCAGTTCCGACCTCTGGCATGGCTCTCAGGAGCCCATGGCTGGATGCAAATAAAAAAACCCATTGAAAAAATATCTATTAAGTGTGGGGGGTCCATGTAAGAAAAGCTCTGCTCCTCCCCCCAGCATCATGTGTCACAAGGCACATATGTTTGATTAAAGTAATTTCAAGCTGGGCATGGTGGTACACATCTGTAATCCCACCACTCATGAGGCTGTGGCAAGAGGATCTCCACTAGTTCGAGGCCAGCCTGGGTTATACTATAAGTTCAGCCTGAGCTACATAGTGAGACCCTGTCTCAAAAAAAAAAAAAAAAAAGCAATTTCAAGGGTAATTCAGCATACCAAATCAATAAGTATAATATGTAATTTAAAGAGGACAAAAATCACATGATGATCTCAACAGACACAGAAAAAACCCTTTGACAAAATCTAACACCTAGCTAGGGATTTAGCTCAGTGACATAAGCACCTGCTGCAAGCATGGGGTCATGAGTTCGATCCCCTGTACCAAAAAAAAAAAAAAAAAAAAAAAAACACCTATTTGTGATTAAAAACACTGAAGAAAATAGGTGTAGAAGGATTTTATCTCAGTCTGATAAAAGCCATTTATAACAAACTTATCACCATCATTATATTAAATGGTGAAAAACAGAAAGCTTTTTCTTCTAAAATTAGAAACAAGACAATTGTTGATTTCCTTTTATCCTGTTTTGAAGTCCTATATCACTTTCATTGTTTTGATTGGCTTTATTTGGTTTTATTTTGCTTGGTTTTATTCTCTTTAAAATAAAATTAAAAAAAACAAAATGAAAAGACACATCAGGAATAGTAGTACATGCTTGTAATATCAGCATTCTCAAGGCTGAGGCAAGAGGATCACCACAAGTTTGAGGCTAGCCTGGGATACATAGTGAGTTCAAATCCAGTCTGGACTATATAGTAAGAACCTGTATCAAAAAAAAAAAAAGGTAAAGAAAGGAAGGAGGGAATGAGAAAAAAATGGAAAGACTTAGCCTGTTCCTGAATAGGCAGAACCAATACTGTCAAACTGGTGATACTTCTAAAACTATATAGATTTAAAGTAATCATGATCAAAATACCAACAGAATTCATCACACAACTAGAGAAAACACTCCTAAAATTCATATGGAACCAGAATATCAAAAGCAATACTGGAAAATAAGAGCAAATCAGGAAGCATCACAGTCCCAGGTTTCAAGTTATATTAGAAAGCTACAATGATAGAAACAGCATGGCCCTGGCACAAAAGCAGACATGTGTATGAATGGAACAAAATAAGAGAACGCAGAAACAACCTCAAGCACATTCTTCCATCTGATTTTTGACAAAGGGACTCTGAAATATACACACAAGGAAAGATAACAAATGGTGCCAAGAAAATTGGTTATCCACGTGCAGAAAATTAAAGCTAGACTCATATCCCTCACCATGTAGTAAACTAAAGTCAAACTAGATCAAAGATGTAAATAGTAAAACAAAAATAATATTCTGGAAGATAAAATAGATAATGTGCTTCAACACAGGCATAGCCAAGAATTTTCTGACCAGAACTCCAATTGCACAAAAAATAGCATTGAGAATCAATAAATGCGATTATATCAAATTTAAGAGCTTCAACAAAACAACCAACCAACAGAATTATGAGAAAACCAACATGATGGGGGGGGGGAACGCCAGCTCTTCCTCAGAATCTAATATCTAGAATACATAAATAAAAAAGTTACACTCCCCCAAAACAAAAGACCCAATCAAGCACAGACAATAAAACTGAATAGTCTTCTCAGAAGAAGACATACAAATCCCCAATAAATATTTGAAAAACTGTTCAACATTTCTGACCATTAGAGAAATGTAAAATAAAACAACACTGAGATTCCATCTTGCTCTAGAAAGATTGGCTATCATCAAGAAATCAAATAACAAATACTGGCAAGGCTGTGGGGGAAGAGAACCCTTCTGTGTTGTTGGTAGGAATGTAAACTAGCATAATTACCATGAAAACCACTATGGAGATTCCTCCAAAAACAAAAGCTAGAAATTCCATCTGAACCTGCTATTTCCTTTCTAGGTATCTTCCCGGGAGAATTAAAGACACCATATTACAGTGAGACATGTATACCCATGTTTGTAGCAGCACAACCCCTATAGCTAAGTCTTGAAAGCAGTCTATGTCTGCCATTAACAGACGAATGGATAAAATGTGGTATTGATACACAATGGAGTACTACTCTGCCATAAAAATGATATAATTTGAGTCATTTGTTGGAAAATGGATGCACCTTGAGACCGTAATGCTAAGTGAAATAGTCAGACATCCAAATTTAAATATGGCATGATTTTTCTTATGAGAAATCCAAGGTATAAATAAATTAATGACAAAAATAAAAGACAAATAATAAGAAGCCCAGAGATAGATCTTTTGCAAATGGAAGAGGACCAAGAGATGGAGAGAAGGGTAAAAGAAAGGACAGGGAGAGATATAAAAAAAGTAAAGTGTGTTAGGCTGGGCATGGTGGTGCACACCTGTGATGCCAGCACTTGAGAAGCGGAGGCAGGAGGAACACTGTGAGTTGGAGGCCAGTTTGGGCTACACAGTAGTTTAAAATCAGCCTGCACTACATATCGAGACTCTGTCTCAAAAAACAAAAAGAATTGAGATGTGTTATGTACATGTACCAACTCCTCACAACGAATGTACTCATTATGTATTGCAAACATGTACTAATTTTTTTTTTTAATTTTAAAGTTCAATGAATTTTAACCTAAGGAAAATTTCCTTCTGGTCACAGAAACCATGTGGGTTGGAAGGAAGAAAAACTGGATCAAATTCTTAGGAAGCCAGTTCTGTCCCTTGCACCTGGTCCTGGTCCTGTTCTGCTGCTGATCCACTTTACTTTGCATTTGATTCAAGTACCTACCTACCGGGTTCCTACCCACCTCCCCCTGCACCATCTCCTTCTGAGCCTGAGGAAGCCTGGACTTGGAAACACATTCTTTTACCTGATAGAGCACCTGCAGACCCTGAAACAGCTCAAGGGAAAAATATGAGCAAGACAAGCCCCAGACACGAATGGGGTCAGAGAAAGCTGGTTTTCTCCCGGGGGTAAACAAGGGAGCATTTGCCACACAGCCCCCTGAGGCAGCACTGTCAGGAAGAAAGGATTTGTAGAACAGAGTCACCCTGGAAAGGCTGCCACACAAAGCTGGAGGGTGAACACAGCCTACAGCCTACACCTTGGAGGCAAAGGAAGGGAGTGGGGAGCCAGGAAGTTCAATAACAGGTGATACCCAACACCAGGGTGTCATTCACAGAGTCAAGGAGTGGAATTTTTCTTCCAGATGAGACTGAGACTGAGGTAGCACTCCAGAGCAGCGATGACATGCTCTACTGTGAGGCCGAGGCTTCCCCCACTGTCGAGAAAGAGAAACCCACCTGGGAGGATTCAGAAACGGACCTGGAGATTGAAGGTGAGAGTGGGCCTCTGGGGCTGGAGTAGCCGGCTCATCAGTTCCCTCAGAGGAGAGAAATCTGGTTCCATTAGAAATCTGGTTCCATTCCACAGCTGTCCTGCAGGGGATAGGGCAGAGGCCAGTGCACGATTCTATAGCACATCCTCCTCCAGGTGGGCTGTGGACAGCAGCTGCACCTGCCAGCTGTGACCTGCCTCGTGGAGCGTCCCACATCAGCTTGCTGTAAGCTGATCCAGCGCACAGGGCTTTCCCCATTTGTCTTAAGCATTTCCGCATGTGGCATCCTGTGCGATTTCTCCACAGTCCCAGGAGGAAGAGATTACTACTAGCCTTTTTCACAATAGGAAACTGAGTCTTAAAGAGCTCATATGAGCTGCCCAAGGCCAGCAGAAGCTGGCCAAGTCATGCTGGCTGAGCCCAAGCTTCACCCACCCTGATCTGCCCTCCATGCCCAGTATTCTGGGTCCCTGGAGTGTCTCTGTGGCCCATCTTGAAATCTTGTGACTTTGTGATCACCTTAGAGTCCGTTTGTCCCCTGCTCAAAAAGCCTATGACAAATCTAAGCCTACTGAACTGCACGAAACACCTCTATCTTCTCCCCCCAAAACACACCTAGTTTCCCAAAGCAAAAAGTACCAAAAGAACATTTGTGAAGCGAGGAGAGGATAATGTTGGTCCTTTCAGATGGGACAACCTCAGGCCGCCCCAGGCACACTTCCTGCCCGTGCCCTTGTGCTTAGGCAGAGGCAGTGAAAAGCCCCCCACCCCCACCCGGGGGGGGGGGCGCTCTTTGACCTTGGAATTAAACTGTGAAGCTTATGAACGTGGAGTTCGCTTATAAACCTCCCCACCATAGTAAACATACAACTACCCTTATACACACACCTCCTCCCTGCTATCCCCAGACATCCTGTTGGTCTCTTTCTGACTTTTCCTCCTCTTCAAAGTTGTCACTCGTGCTGCTTTCAACAGCCAAATTTACCTGATGGGAGGAGGTGGCAGCGGACAGCACCGGCTCCTGCTCTGTCTTGTGCCTCCTTGCCATCTCATCTCTAGCAAGTGACAACACAGTGAATACAGCTAGAAAGAGACAGCGTGAAGGGTCAGAGTAGAACTGGTCCCAAGGATGAAACAGGGGCTGCCTTACAACACCCACCACGCCCCCAGAATCTCTAACAGCTGCCAAAACACTATCTTGAGAAGAACTTGGAGCTCAGCTGCTCTGGCTCCTGGTACCCTGCTGCTGGCACAGAGATGCTGGGAAGGGGCAGGAAGGCTTCCGGAGGAGAGAAGCACACAGCAGGTAAGTCTGCAGAAGCTGATGGATGGATGGACTCGGGCTTTGCTCACACACCACAGGCTGTTTCTGTTTCAACAGTGTTTTGCCCAGAGGCAAATGTACACCCCAGGGGACATTTGGAAAACTATGGTATGAAGGACTGCTAATAGTACCTAGAGGGCACAGGCACCTCGAGGGTACAAGCCACGGAATATTACCAAAGAGCCCACAATGCATAGGACAGCCCCTTGCAGCAGAGAAGTTTCCAACTAGTAATGTCAGCAGTTTTGATGCTGAGAAATCTTGCCATGTGGCCATTCTAAAAAGAGATCAGAGTCCTGACCAAACCAGCTTCCCTGTAAAGTTGTCTTTTCCCCAGCAAAGCTCTCATCTGCATTCGAAATGTTGGGTATGCATTGGCTAAAGGCCCTGGGATCTGACGGGAAAACAGATGCACATGTAGATGCCAGCTGACCACAAGAAGCTTGGCTAGTGACTGGACTTGCCTAGTGGGGACCAGCTGTGGGGCCCAAGTTCACGGAGACCCAATGCCTGTTGGTCATGAGTCAGGCTGGTCTAAAGTCTAAGAAATAAGAGACCCAAAAGATGGAAATGAAGAGGTAGAGTCCCTTTTTCTGTAAACTGGCTTTATCTTTGATCACATGTGTCATTTGGGGCTAGATTTGTCATTGGGGAGGAAAGGATGACAGCAGGGAGACTCATTCAGGTGCAAAATTGTTTTTTTCTGTCTGACTCTGATTTGCCATCTTTGGATAGGCTTTTTCTTGGTACATATCTCCTTTGGCAATACTCTATTCAAAAAGTCTTAGCAAATTGAAACTGAAACAGAGATTTCCTCAACCATGAAAAGCCTCCAAGGTGGACACAGTAACACAGCTGTAATCTCAGCACTCTAAGAGGTGAAGACAGGAAGATTGCAAATTTGAGGCCAGCCTGGGTCCCTTAGTGAGACTCACTCAAAATGAAAAAAATAATACTAATAAAAAAGGATGGAGATGAGGCTCAGTGATAGACTATCCCAGAGTTCAATCCCTAGTATCAGTAAGAGGAAAAATTTTAAAGTCCCCAGCTCTGTGCCTACTGTCTTTACCTTTTGGGGTTGTCCCATTGTGGCAGAAGACAGGACCTCCAGATATCCCTGGTAATGAGCCAGCCTGGGAGGGTGAGATGTGGGTGTTCCACTCATCTCTGATAGGAAAGCCTGGGCTTAAGACCAGAGGCCTTACATTTTATCCAAAGCAAGACACCCATTTAGCATTATCTGGGATCAGTGTTTTCCTCTCCAGCCACTGGGTGACCGTAGGACTGGTGTTTGCATCTAGAGCATAGACCCATAAGGACAGATCCCTGGCAGAAGACATTCCAATCAGAAATATTGCCTGATGCTACAGGGAAGATAAGGCAAAGCTGACTTCACCCTGTCTTTCTCCATAGATACTGAGAAGTCCTTCACCACTGGACAAAAGGAGCTGTACCTGGAGGCCTGCAAAATAGTGGATGTGGTGCCTGTCTCTTACTTCCTCCGGAACATAGAAGAGCCGTACATGAATCTCAACCACCACGGTTTGGGCCCCCTCGGTACCAAGGCTATCGCTGTAGCCCTGGTGGTAAGCGTGCTTGGGGGAGGCAGCACATGGAACCTGCATGATTGACAAAGTGGCAGGCCCAAGATTCATTTGAAGCCTAAAAGGGCAATCTCTGTGGCCACCTACCCTAGGTTGTTCTTGGGGGCCATAGTGGGGCCATGATTTTCCCCAAGGGCATGCACTCCCGTTGAGCTCTGAGAAGTAGGCTGCTATAGTCCTGGACCTTGTTCCCATTTAGGAAGCAAACACCCAGCCAAGGGCCAAAGGCAAGAGCCTGTGCTTACCGTTCTGTATTACAATAGCTCCAACTGTCACATTTCCTTTTTTGCTGAGAGAGGAGACAGGCTCTAAGGCTCGTTACTACCTAATACAGATTGGCTTTGAAAATTCTTGAATCTGAAGATGTACCTGTTTTATGACACCATTTAGATTGAAAACAAGGGGGAGAAAGAAAAAACAAAAGCTCCGATTAGAGCTAACCCTGGTCTTTTATGCTGTGATGTGAATCACTCCCTCTCATCTCGCTCTCAAGAGGAATGCAGAGTAGCTTGATTTAGATATTTACTAAAGATGTAAGTCCAGCTCCCTCCAAACAGGCTTGAGACAGCCTCTTCTTAAGAGAGTATCAGAGGATCAGTGGTAGAGTGCTTGCCTAGCATGTGTGAGGCCTGGAGCCCATCTCTAGCTCTGCAAGGCAGTTGGGGGCGGGGCGGTGTCAGGTAAACTAAGTTAAGCTAAAAGAAAAGCTCTTAGACAGGATTTGAATGCAAATGCTTTAGAGAACCTCTTTGCAAGAATCTTTATGCTTGTGTTCCCTTGGTAAATGTATCCAGGCTCCCTCCATCTTGCGGTAGGTAACAATCCATTTTCCTCCACGGTTAGAATCTACTTACTGTTCCTGTGGCTCTTGCTTTTCAGGTATTTAATTGATGAATGCCCCTCTTCTAGATTCTGCCAGAAAAGCACAGTGTTTTAGCAGAACTCCGTGGGATGGTTTACCCTCTGTGCCACTCTCCTAGTCCTCTGCACTCCGTCAGTGCTCTTAGCCTGAACCTTTAAGCCTTCTGTATTAGTCCATTTTCCATTACTATAACAATACACTTGAAGCTGGGTCACTTTAGACATAGGTTTATTTAACTCACTACATTCAAGGGCATGGCACTGACATCAGCTTGGCTGTGGTGAAGGCCACTTGGAGGCCAGCATCATAATGACAGAGGGCATGTGAGAGGAAGCGATGACGTGATGAGATTGGAACACTGGGAAGGGTCAGTATTGACCTTCCACTAGGCGCCACCTCTTAATGGTCCCATTGACTCTTCAAATGGCCACTTTGGGTACTACGCCTCCAACATATGAACATTTGGGCCACAGCCACACCTGAACCATAGCACCTTCCCATAACTGGGTTGTTCAAGTGAGAGGATGAGTTCTGAACCATAGTGGGCGAGGAGCTGACCACTTCTCCTTTCCGCTGTGGCATCCTTAGTCCAACACAGCTATCATCGGACTGGAGCTGGAAGACAACCGCATCATGAAGGAGGGCGTTCTGAGCCTGGTGGAGATGCTGCATGAGAACTACTATCTGCAGGAGCTGGTGCTGTGCCTGCCCCACTGCCTCCCCCTGCCACCCACTCAAGCCAAGCCACAATCCCCTGTCAGGCCCAGGTCAGCCTCAGAGTGTCTGCTCCAGTCTGCAGGCTCCTCCCCTCTAGATGCGACCGCTCAAGGAGGGCCATGCACCAGAGGTTGGTCGGGGGCCTGTGTTCTCTGTAGCTGCAGAAAATCCTACTGACTCTGTCTGCACCACATTAGCCCCTAAATGGATACATTCACCTCTGCACGATTGTCTTAAAGTAAACTTCCCTAAAGGAAATAAAAGCATGAAGTAATTTGATAAAATACAACATGCCTGGAGATAGATGTTGGTGATGGTTGTGCAACCATTGGTTAATACCAATAACCTGTACACCTAAAAATGGCCAAAATGGTGAATGTTGTGTTATATGATTTTATCACCATAAAAATTTTAAGAAAGGGAGGAAACCAGATAAGATGACACTGGCTGGTTTATATAAAGTCTGCTCCACTAGCCTGATAGGACTGTGACACACTGTGTCAGACTTTATCCCTTCTGGCAAAGGGATTACCCTTTGTGAATCGGTGAATGGAACTTACACAGTGTTCACTGCAAGCTCACTTTTTCATTGTTTCATGCCAAAGTCAAACTCTCCCAATGAAGCTGCTTTGTGTTGCAAAACAAAACAATGTGCTCATTAAAGCATCAGGGCTGACCTGGTTGGAAGCGGGGTGTCACTGAACCAACATCAGCAACACAGAGGCCTCGTGACAGGCACCAGAGAAGCCAGACAGGGACCAGGTTTTCCTGCCTCCCTCCCGTCAGCCCTTCCTGTGACCCTTACCCATCTAATCCTTTAACTCAGCCTTCTCCCCCAGCCCCAACCCTGCTCCTTCGGTGAGCCCCACTCTGCCCTCATTTGTTAACGAGTGCCCTTCACCGGGACTTGTACCTAGCCAAGTGTGTTCTTGCCTTTTAGAATATTTCCACCAATGACCTGGGTTTGGAGGGGGCCAAGATCATCTCAGATTTCCTCCAGAAAAATATTTCTTCACTCTGGAAACTTAAACTTTCAGGTGAGATCACAGAATGGAGGCAGAGAATCCTCCGGGAGAGTGGGAGAAGCAAAACGGAGAGAACCCAGAATCTAGTTGAACCTGACCATCTCTCTCTGGTCTCAGAGACCAGAATACTGTATCTTCCTCCTGCTGCACATTCATCCTTCCATCCCCACAGCCTCACCGGCTTCCTGCTTTCCTCAACAAGCCACTCTGACCTGCTTTGGGACACTCTTTCCTCTTCTTGAGCATCTCCACCCACAGATGTGTGATTATGGCTCACATGACCTCTGCTCTTTCTTCTCTTCTCATGGCTCTGCTCAGATGTCACCTCCATGATGGAATATTCTTTTTTTTTTTTTTTATCGGTACTGGGGATTGAACTCACGACCACCTGCTTGCAAGTCAGGTACTTATGCCGCTGAGCTAAATCCCCAGCCCCATGATGGAATATTCTGACCACTCTATGAAAACACACTGTACCTCACTATCATTCTATCCTGTTTAATGGTGGTTATTTCCACTGGATTCTCTGATATATACCTATTTTAAAACTGTTCACTACGGATGTGCCCTGGAGGGAAAAGCCACATGAGAATTCTGGTACCTAAAGACTTGCATTCACTCAGGGTTGCAGATTCATGCTATCTGCAGGGTCCTGGAATCCCTAACTAAGAAATGAACATAAAAAATGGTCTTGTGCTAATGAGAATAGGACCCTTTGGAGGTCTCAGGCTCTTGAGAGTCCCATAAATAAAGCCCCATTAATGGCTTCATAGTTCAAAGCTGCAAAAGCAAACAAGAAAACACAAGAGCTGTCAAACTCAACAAGCAATATAGGATGGAACTTTGAGAACTCCAGGACATACAACGGGCAGATACAGATAATGAATGTAACTCATCACCCAGACTGAATAGAGGCAACGCTCTTTAACTGAAACTATAGGCAAGACAAGGTATCTTATACCCAACCATCAAATATGTTTTCTGGGATTAAGGACACAAAAAACCATGCAAGGTAAAACACAAGAGAGCAAATCACTGTTTTTTTTAAAGGCTTCTCCCCTCAACATTATCAAGAAATAAAAGGCTGGGGGTTTAGCTCAACAGCGTAAGTGCCTGGCAAGCACAAGGTCTTGAGTTCAATCCCCAGTACCAAAAAATCAAACAAACAAGTAAAAAACACATAGTTTCTGAAATTATAAATTCAACAATATATTAGATACAAGTGACTAGAATTAGAAGAAACTATTTTATCTACCTCTTAGTATAAACAGATACAATTTAGAGAACATAAAGATTAAATAATATAAAAAATGAATAGATTTGATATAGCTAATAGGAGTTTCAAAAGAACAGAATGAATACAGTGATATTTGAATAAATAATAGCCAACACATTTCTTAAATTGAAGAATTCTCAGATACAGAAATCCTAGCAAGTCCTGAGAAGGATAAATTTTTAAAAATCCACAGTCAGATATATCACTGAAAAAACCCTTAAGATATAGAGAAGGAAGCTGGGCATGATGGTACATGACTGTAAGCCCAGTACTTGGGAGGCTGAGGCAGGAGGATCATCATGTGTTTGAGGCCAGCCTGGGCTACATAGTGAATTCAAGGACAGGGTGCACTACATATGGAGACTGTCTCACACACACACACACACACACACACACACACTATATATATATATATATATATATATATATATATACACACACACACACACAACATACAACCTATCACTTAGGACACAGTCTGGGAAACCTAGCAACTCAATGAAACCCTATTTCAAATTTTTTCAAAAAATTTGGGTGTAGTTTAATGGGAAGGCCCCTAAGTTAAGCCCCAGTACACAAGGAAGAAAAAGAGGAAAAAATGAAGGAAGACGATACAGAGAAGATATTAGAAATAACCAGAAGAAAACATACAGAATGTTTTTTAATATAAATATTATGTGTCACCAGAAAGGTGGCACATTTCTAAAAAAGAAATTTTCTCTAAAAAGAAAGAAACTAGTCCAAGTTTCTTAGATTTCTTTCTTTCTTGTTGTTGTTGTTCTTTTGTTTATTGTTTGTTGTTTGTTGTTTGTTGAGACAGGGTCTTGCTATGTGGTTTAGGCTGGTTTTGAACTCACTGTGGAACCCAGGCTGGCCTCAAACTCATGGGGACTCTCCTGCCCCAGCCTCCCAAGTGTTGAAATTATAGGCATGTACCACCACCCCAGGTCTAGATTAATTACTATGAAGAACAAATAGATTTACTCATTTTCTGAGTAGTATTCAATGTTTTGGATATAACATTGGTTATTTAACATCACTATACATGGGGAGAATTTAGGTCATTTCCAACTTTCAATCTTTCAATTACTGTTTCAAAAATGACTTTCTTGAACATGCATCTTTTAAAGGACAGATGTTCTAGTATTTCTAGATAAACACCAAAAGTATAATTACTGAATACAAAGATTATCCACTTCTGTGGATTTATAAAAATTGATTTCTGAATTTCCCCTTAAGAAATCTGTAACAGGTTACAACGCTGCCAAAAGACCACCTTCCTATACTGTTTCCACAGGGTTATTAGCAAGATGTCTGTCAATCAGATGGTTCAGGACAGGGTTGTTGAGGTCAGAGTGCTGGGCTCCAAATCCTAGCTTTGACACTAGACAAGGTTAACCTTTCTGTGCCTCGTTTTTCTAAGAGCAATCTTATCATTCATGTCAAACAGTGATTGTGAGGATTTTAAAGCTAAAATGCCTTTTTAAAAATCTAGCAAAAAATATTCAATAATATTAATTATTATCATTATATTTCCGTATTACTATTAAGTTGTTGAACTATTGGATGAACATCTATTGAATAGACGCTCAATACTTAGTACTAAGTAGAACATTTCTTCAGATATTTGTTTCCTCTTATTTTTTCTTCTAAGAAATGTCAGTTGTAATATATACTTGTTTGTACAACCAAATATTAAGCATTCTTTCTGAGCTACAGGTATTTATACTTGAAGGTCAGATGAAGTTAGGAGCATTAAAGGAAATGGCAAACAGTCCCTCCTACTTGCTTATGTCTACATATTTGCTTTAATTTCTTGCCACCTTTCCAGTGACTGGTTGTTCTGAGGGTAAGAAAACTGATCAGGTGATGACGTGAGCAGCAGTGCATTGCTAACACAGCTCCCTCGTTACAGGAAATAACTTCAAGGAGGAATCTGCAGCCCTCTTATGCCAAGCCCTGTCGGTAAGGGGTCAGGGATGCAGCTGAGTCGCAGGGGAGTGCTCCTCAGGGCTTGGGGTGAGCTGAGGACTGTTCTGGTCAGAGTGATACAAGGCTACCCACATGGCTTAAGAAGCTGATGAATGTTTGGCCTCTATTAATTCCAGCAAAAGAAGCAGCAAATGGTAGACTTTCAGGATGGCACCAAATTTTCCCAGCAGCCATCACCTATTACACAAAAAGTTAACAAATTGTTCACCTTAGGGCAGGGGATATAGCTCAGTGGTAGAGAATTTGCCCACTATGTGTGAGATCCTGAGTTCAATCCCTAGCACTGCAACAATAAAAAGACAAGGCAGGAGAGAAAGATTGTTTTAGATTGTTTGTCAGCCTATGAACTCTGGCTCATCTAGTTTTTGGTACCTGAAAGCCCCCCAGCATACTTCTCTGGCATAAGTGAGTAAGAGATTTACAGTCAGAAAAGAAAAATAATCTCCCTTTCCCCTGTTTGTTCCTCTAGTCCAATTACCGAATTAAGAAGCTGGATCTCAGCCACAATGAATTCTCTGACAAAGGAGGGGAACTCCTGGGTCAGATGTTAGGTATGTTCCTAAGAAGGGAGGGGGAGCTGGGGGAAGCTCACTTATCAGTGCTGAATCTCACTTTAGTTTTAAATTAATTTTGAATGTTTATATTATAAAAGTGTTGGACAGTGTCCCCAAAATGAGCTTTAACTGAAGCAAACACCTAAATGTGAGAAGTAAACCTTTCCAATGATTAGAACATACAGAGATACAACTTGCTGGCCTGAAGGAGACCAAGGATGAGCCTATGTGGCACAGTGACAATAAACTGCAACAAAAACAATTCATAGCTGAGTGTGGTGGTGCACAGCTGTAGTTCCAGCACTTGGGAGGCTGAAGCAGGAGAATCACTCCAAGTTCGGGGCCAGCATAGGCTATATAGTTAGTAAGTTGTTCTTGCATTGAAAGACTCAATCTTTAAAAAAAGATATCATATGTTTGGCAGCAATATATTAAAGCTTATATATAGGTTATATTTGTTTATACACTATGGACAGCCTTAAACCTAGCAACAGACAAGGAATGCTTATTTGTGGCATTTGCATAAATATGAAAGATCAGTGTTCAGATTGTTGATAAAAGATCCTTTTGATCACCAGCTGCAGTGATGCACTTATGGTCCCAGCTGCATTGGGAGGTTGAGGGAGGAGAATTGAGAGTTTGAGGGCAGCCTGGGCAACATACCATAGCAAGACCCTGTCTCTTGTCTTTTTTTTTTTTTTTTTTTTTTTTTTTGTCTTTTTATCGGTACCGGGGATCGAACTCACGACTGCCTGCTTACAAGGCAGGTGCTTATGCTGCTGAACTAAATCCCCAGCCCCTAAGACCCTATCTCTTAAACAAAAAAATATATATATAAGTATAACCAAGGAATATGGGCAACGAAAGAAGAAATCCAACTGCCCAACCTCACAACTAAAGAAATGCAAAATAAAACAACATGAAGATCTCCTTCATCCTCTGTCAAAGCCACAGGTTTAAAGTCTGTGACTGTCATCGCTGCAGTTGGGAGCTAGATAAAGGCTCTGTGGAGGACTGGGCAGTACCTAGTGGGATGGAAATGTGTCCAGTCTGCAGGGCACATTCTGCTTTACATGCCTTAGAGAAGCCGTCACAGAATAGCCAGTGGCATCCCAGAATACCACCCTTCCCAAATAAAATAAATACGACGGTAATGTGCTTAAATAGAGAAGTTTCCCAGTGCTGTGGAGCACCCAGCAAAATCATCTTCAAATAATAATAATAAAATGATCTCCATGTGAACTCACATCTCCAACAAGCCTGATGCCTCCCACCTTCAGCTGACGGCGTCCCTGAGGCTGCCTGGGAGCCAAGTTTCAGGGTCACTATTGCCACCAAGGCTCTTGATAAAAAGGACACTGTGTGGGGTGGTATACTATGTCTGTAAATATGCCCTAGAAGTTGGTTCCCATGCTATTTGCATTTATTTTAATGGTTGCGTAATAATCCACCAGATGAAAGTCTACCTTTATCAGTAAAATATGCGTGTACTCAGGCAGTCTCAGAGATGGAGTACACATTTTAATGGAAAAATATCTGTGATCACATAATCTTTGCCAAGTAGACTGCGCCAACTTACTTGCCACCTGTGATAATATGATCTTTCCTAACACTGGGAATTCTCTCACGGTTTTGTGTTTAAATGAATAACTGAAGACTGTTGCCCAAGTGTTCTACTTCGTGAGACACTGAGCAGTCCTGTGAACTCTGAGGCAGAGTTCTTTGGATGTGAGGGGTGCCGGGGTGACCCCCTTCTCCCTCCCAGGCATCAACGTAGGGCTCGAGTCACTGGATCTGAGCTGGAATCATTTCCACATTCAGGGAGCTGTGGCCTTGTGCAGCGGTCTGCGGGTAAGGTGCTCTCTGAGGGGTGGTGCTGAGCCCAGGTGGGGGTGACCAGGGCCTCCCATGCCACCATCTTGACTCTTCCTCGGGGTCACCATTGATGAGGGCACGCTGAGCTCTCCCCAGATGCTTTCTGAGTTGCTAGTGTCCCGCATTTCCTGCATCTGAACTTTGTATAGATCCCACCTGCTGAGACCTGGGTGGTATCTTTAGGAACACTCCAAGAGGACAGTTTAATTGAAGAGTAGGGAATGATCAGAACCCAAAAGGAAGGAGTCTCAAGTCCACTTGAGTCTCTGAGCCCAGCTGGGAAGGATCTGGACGGCTCAGGCAGATCTGTCACTCCCGGGACCACTGAGAGCTGTAGAAGTTGGGGCAGTAGGAAGGGTGGGCCACACGTGACCTTGATGCTAGTGCTGCTTCCCCTCCCTGGAGTCTAACGTGACCCTGAAGAAACTGAATCTGTCCATGAACGGCTTTGGCAATGAAGGGGCGCAGGCCCTCGGGGAGGTCTTCAGACTCAACAGCTGCCTGACCCACGTGGATGTCAGCAGTAACAACATCAGCAACGATGGGGCCTCCAAGCTCAGCCGGGGACTGGAGTCCAACGAGACCCTCCAAGTGCTGAAGGTAGTCTCGCCTTGAACTGGGAATGCCCCTCCGTGTGTGTGTGTGTGTGTGTGTGTGTGTGTGTGTGTGCCTCTGAGGTCATGTGAATACCCAGCCTCGGTGCCCAGTGACACCAAGGAGACTCCTGAGAACCTGAACTGAATAAGATTAAGAAACTGCCCCAAATTAGATGTGGTGGCACGTATCCGTAATCCGAGCTACTTAAGAGGCTGCGACAGGAGGATTGTAAATTCAAGGCCAACCTGGGCAACTCCATGAGACTGTATCTCAAAGTAAAATAAAAAGGCTGGGGATGTAGCTTAGTGGTAGATCACTTGCCTACCATGTTCAAGGACCTGCATTTAATTCTCAGCACTACAGAACTGCAGAGAGAGAGGAGGGAAGAAGTTTAAGTTGTGTGCTAAACCAGCCTCTCCTGCCTCTGTCTCAGCCTCTTCCTGTCTCACCTCTCCTCCCACAGCTCTTCCTGAACCCTATAAGTATGGATGGGGCTGTTTTGCTTATCCTGGCCATCAAGAGGAACCCCAAGTCTGTGATGGAAGAGCTTGACATTTCTGTAAGTGATCCACCCTGGCTGCATCACTTGATGGCCGGCCCCGGCTGGAGTGCCTGTGAGACGGGGTGGTCACAGGATGGGACAGCAGGACAGAGACCAGGGAGGGGCCAGTCCTGCTCCTTTGTGACTGAAGTCCCAGAGAACTACAGTTCCCTTCAGAGACGCATCACCCAGTGACCCCCAGTGACCCTACCACCTTGCATTAGCGTCCAGCCCTGAAAGATCTCACTATCCCTCATCTCTACCCCAGACACCAAGTTTCCAATAAATGACCCTTAAGAAATAAACCACAAAGGCTGGGGATTTAGCTCAGTGGCATAAGCGCCTGCCTTGCAAGCAGGCAGTCGTGAGTTCGATAACCGGTACCGATAAAAAGGAAAAAGACAAAAAGAAATAAACCACAGCATGGCCTTTTCCTGTCATTTCGCCAATTATGCTGCCATAAGTCTAAAGAGCCCTGCAATTCCTGCCTGCTCCTGCTCTAGAATGTCCATAGTCTTTGTCCTGCAAGCATGAGTTGAATATTTGAGAAGGCAAAATGTAATCAGAGGCTGGGTGTTTAGCTCATCGGCATAAGCACCTGCCTTGCAAGCAGGCGGTTGTGAGTTCGATCCCCAGTACCGATAAAAAATGAAAAAGACAAAAAAAAAAAATCTTAAAAAACAAAATGTAATCAGAACCCCGTGTAAGGGGCTGGCACAGGTTGAGCAAGCCGCTGGAAGCCAGGTTTGATCACGCACTGTTTTACAGGAGACATTTCCCCCTATGCCACCAGCTCTGAGGGCACTTCCAAAGGAGAGCTCCCATTTGCTGGGGCCACGGCAGGCTGGTTGGAAAGGAGGGGTGTTCTCCCCGGGGACCCACCCTGAAGAACTACACTCACATCCAAATGGACGTCTCAGGGTACGCGTTTGAGGACCGGCCTCCCAACTTGATAGTCCTATCTTGTCCATCTGAGATCAGAGCTGAGCTGGCAGCGTGTGATAAACCACCAGCACTCAACATACACACCTGGCCACAGTCATGTAGGAAACCCACAGACAATCCACAAGCTCTAACGCATCGGAACTATCCCAATCGAGGAGCCTCGGTGCGAGACAAACGGGAAAAGACAGAGCTTCTGATCTTAGCAAGGAGTGGTCTGGTTGGACAGGGAGATGACACATTGGCCGCATCCTCACCAGGGTCCATTTGTCCCTGCTACAGAATGTGCTGGTAACCGAACAGTTTACAAAAATCCTGGATGGGGTATACGCTGCCCACCCGCAGCTGGAAGTGCTGTACGACACAGTGAAGAGCCTCTCCGGAAAGAAACAAGCCATCTCCCTGCGGATAAGACCCATGAAACTGATCCAGGTGAGTGCGGCCTTCTGCTCCACCTCCAGCCTCAAATCAGCCTCCCCAGCGCTTCCCTCCCCAAAGCGTCTATGCAAACCTTTATAACAAGGGTTATTCCCTGAGGATATAGGATCCCCAGTAGTGCTTCTGACTTCCCAAGAGAGAATTGCTGAGCTCTGGCTGAAGTGGATGGGGCTTGGCCCAGAATGGAGTTTACCATGAAGGCCCTCAGTAAGCTCAAAGGCCACTCACTGAGGCGCTCTGGGCCTCAGCCTTTGTACCTGTAAAACGGGTATAACAACAGTAGCTGCCCAAGTAGAGCTGCTTTGGAAGTTTAGTTAATTAATTTGCCCCAAAGTTCTTAAAGTAATGTCTGGCAATGTCTCTCGGATGACTGGTAAGGGCATCCATAGGGATGGCTGTTAGGTGATTTCAGCTAAAGAAAGACATTTGAGTCCTTTATTTCTAACCTGCACCTGGCTCCAGTCTTACACTGTCTCTTGAAAGTCACAGGAAATAGATGTACCTATGAAAAAATCTGAGAACATTAGACCTGAAAAGGGAGCTGCGCCTCCTAGAGCCGTGAGCAGGGCCACTCAAGAGTTCATTGCCAAAAAAAAAAACATGATTCGGGGCTGGGGATTTAGCTCAGAAGCATAAGCGCCTGCCTTGCAAGCAGGCAGTCGTGAGTTCGATCCCTGGTACCAATAAAAAAAAAAAGAGTTCATTGTCCATGGTGGGAAAGGCGTCCACTCCTGGGTGCTATCTGGGAAGACGAACAGGGCTGAGGTTGTGCAGATGCAGGTTCTGCTGTGTGTGCCCCTGACCTGATTGGTCTGCTCCATTGGTCTGCCTCAGTTTCCAGAACGAAAGAAAAAGCTCCTGCATGAAAACTATTGTTGCATGAAGAGTTCTAGAAGGCCAAGGGGCATCTGGTGTGTTTGAGAGCCTGATGGCTTCAGGTGGAAGCAGGGGCAACCTGCTTTGCAAGGGAGTGGTGAACGTAGAGCCAAAGTCACAGATGCCACTGTGCACGCAGTTTGGGCACAAAGAAAGAAAGAAAGAAAGAAAGAAAGAAAGAAAGAAAGAAAGAAAGAAAGAGAGAGAGAGAGAGAGAGAGAAAGAAAGGCATAGAAAAAGAACCATGGGGTAAATACCAAAGCAGGCGTGCAGTGTAAACATATGCCTTGCCTTCGGGGCAACAGTCTGGTTGGAAAAGCAGGATCGGTTCAGTAATAACCAGCAAAAAATATCACCTAATAATAAAGAAGTGAGGAGGGCAGACATATGAGAATCCCACCTAGAGAGCTTGGTAGCTTTGGGCAGGCAGGAAAGAGTGGCTCCCTGCAGAAAGCAGATGGGAGGCCCTTTAGGAGCCGGAAGGATTCTGGGAGCCAGAGGGCATGGGGGTGTTCTAGGAAGGGTTGCTGCCAGCTAAGGGACTGGGGTCCAGCTGCATTGGCAAAGGGGAGTGACCAAAGCTACAGGAATACCGGGGAGGATCCATGTGGTTCCTTTTATTACAGAGAAACCTGGAATTCGAAACTGGAGAGAGAGGTTGGGCTGGATGTGGTGCCCTCCTCGGGTTTCCTGCTCTGAGTTGGAGTTTGATTCTGGTGGATTAGGGAGCCAGCGTGGGAGTGGGAAACCAAAGAGAACACAAATGCTAGACGTGGAATAATTTGCCTGAGAATGACAATGGAAGTGAAGGATAAATGCAAAAGATGTCATGAGGACTGAGTTTGGTGACACGCAAGTGTAATCCCATCACTCTAGGAGGCTGAGACAGGAGAATCACAAATTCAAGCCCAGCCTGGGCAAACAGTCAGATAATAAGACTCTGCCTTCAAGTTAAAAATAAAAACAGGCTAGGGGTGTAGCTCAGCACCAAAGCCATCGGTACAATTTCTAATACCAAAAAAAATAAAAATAAAAATTCACTTATCCTAAGGCAGGAGGCAGCAACTCACAAGTGACAAACAGTGGCCCTATTCCTGACCCTTGTCTCCTATCCAGGGTATCTGCCTTATCTTAGGGCAGGTAGCACTTACACCCAGGTGGGACAGCCTTAACTCTAGCATCTCACCATGAACCAACCCTAGCTTTGCACCCTTGACCCCAGCATCACACACCTACATCCAGTCACCTCCAACGTGATCACATAAGGCTTTGGGAGGACATCTAGGCACAAACCATAACAACCTTTGTACCTCTGTTGCTTGTCTTGCCCAGTTCTTTGTTCAGGACAAGAATCTGCAAAGCATCTGTAGAAGGAGCACCTCTAGAACCCTGGTAACAAGGATAAGTCAAATTAACATAGACAGGATTTTCTCAAATCATCAGGCTCAAAGGCTCCACTTAGAAACTAAAACTATAGCAAAACATCTGGTATTGTGTTAGTGTATAATGTTAATGATAATAATAACAATAATGGAATCAAACAAAGATAAAACCACATTCCATCCAAGGGGCTATAAAAGAAATACATTTTTTTTAAAAGAAGTGTTCAGAGAAATGCTATTTGCAAAACATTTTATTTAATGTTATCAAGTCAAAGGCTGACAGGAAGGGGAAAAAGAGGAAGGGAAGAAACGCAGCTCACTCATGAAGTCTAGCAGATTTGTTGCTGAATCTTTTACACCGTCCATGCTTTTATCCCAGTCATATTCTATCTTCCAAACCCAAACCTCTAAACTGAAAAGGATACAATCAGAGCAACTTAGGCCACTAACAAAACTAACACCATTGAGCCTGAAGTTATTCCTTTACTCTGGCATGAATGCAGTCGATGTTTCATTAATAAACAGCAAAATTTATTTAGGAAAATAAAAGATGATCGCTGCTTCCGCTTGAGCAGGAAGCTGCACCACTGAGATATACTCCCCACCCACCCACCCCTGCGGACACTACTGCAGCTGCCCGTGCTGCCCCTCTCCCAGCCAGACCCCTCACACCACCCTCGTACACACACATCTCATCCAGGTGTCGGTGCACCGATCCACGGAGACTCTGTGCTGGGAGAGTCCCAGCTCTCCAGCCTGTGCCTCCTGGACAGCATGCTGGGAAGGCCTGAGTGGGCCCAGGGTCACCATGAGCCCTGCCACTGCGGTCAGTAACAGCGTGCAGAGTGAGCCTGAGGGGAGTCCACGCTGGCTGAGTTGGATGAGACGCAGGGGCTGTTGAAGAGTGGAGCTGGCTACCTAGCGGAGCTGGTCACCCCGGTAGGGTGAGAGGCAGTGTCTCCCAAACAGAGCATGTGGGAAGGCTAGCAGAGGACCAAGATGCGCCCTGAGGACTCCCTGAGGCAGAGGATGCTGGAGAGTGGCCACCAGTGTGGCAGGGACTGGGCTGGGGGGCTTTGAGCATGGGAACGGAAAAGAAACAAAAACAAGGGCCCAAAAGAATATTCCTGATGTTGAAAAAGTGTATACAGGGGCTGGGGATTTAGCTCAGCGGCATAAGCACCTGCCTTGCAAGTGTGCAGTCGTGAGTTTGATCCCTGGTACCGATAAAAATGAAAAAGACAAAAAAGAAAAGAAAAGAAAAAGTGTATACATGGGCCAGAGATTTATCTCAGCAGCACAAGCACCTGCCTGGCAAACGCATGGTCGTGAGTTCGATCCCCGGTACCCTAAAAGAAAAAAGAAAGAGTGTACACAGTGAGTTCAATACCAGCCTGGGCTACACAGTGAGTTTAAGGCCAGCCTCAACCACATGCTAAGATTCTATCTCAAAAACAAAACAAAACAAAAACAAAAGTTCTCATATTGTATTAGTATAGTGCATTTGTAAAACAGTAGAGGCTGGGGCTGGGAATTTAGCTCAGCGGCATTAAGCACCTGCCTTGCAAGCAGGGGCTCGTGAGTTCGCCAGTACCAATACAAAGAAAAAAAAAAATAGAGGCTGCAGAAAGATGACAGATGAATAATAGATAGATAGATAGATAATATATGCCAAGATAGTAGGATTAGATTTATGGATTATTTTTTAATTTCTTTATTCTACTAATCTAAAATTGCCTTCCAATGTAATATTTTAAAAGGAAGAAAAAAATCTTTTGTAATAGTAGTACTAGGGATTGAATCCAGGACCTTTGTACTGAGCTACATCCCCAGTCCTTTCATTATGTTTTAGTTCCAGACAGGACCCCGTAAGTTGCCACACTGCCTGGGTTGGGCTCGAATCTGCAGTCCACCTGCCTCAACTTTCCAGAGCGTCGGGACTTTAAATATGCACCATACCTTCCACCTTGAAACTTTATTTTTAAAGTTGTTCTCCACATGTGCATTTGTGGGGATCTATGAGGATCCTAAGGGTCCCTCGTCTGGCCAGCCACACCAGACGTGGCTGTGCTTTGCTCCTATGACCTCTGAGCTACCAACAGCTCACCCACTCTTCCCAGGGCTTGTCTATAACTGGTCTTAATAGAGGTCACTTCAAACCGAGGAAAGTGTGTAGAGAAGGTCACTATGGCGACCCCGGTGGAGCTGTGGCACCCTAACAGCATGGACTTGTTAAACTGATGGGTGGATGACCGCATGGAGCCACTGCTCAGTGGGCTGGGGCAGGGGGAGCTCCGGTGGCCTGCAGTCTGGCCCAGATCTTCAGCAGCTGCTAATGCTAACACTGAGAGACTGTGGCTCTGAGTGCTGTCTCCTCTTCCCTCAGCCTCTCTGGCTGGGTGGTGGCTTAGGGGACCTCAAGGAAGAGAGGGTTTGGAGGAGTGACAGCTACGATAAGGGATGTCCTGCCTCTTGCAGAGCTATGCAGACCAGCACAAAATCAAACTTGTGGACTTCTTCAGGAGCTTGAGCCCAGCTAGAAGGATGGAGATGCCTGTGGGCGAGTTCCGGAAAGCTCTGCTACAGGTGCGCTGGGTCCTGGCAGCAGCAGGCTCTGAGTGTGTGCGCATGCGTGTACGCATGCACACGCATGCGCGCGTGTGTGTGTGCATGTGTATGTTTGTGTCAATTAAGGTGTGTTATGTACATATACCAACTCCTTATGATGAATGTTATTAGGCATAGCAAGCATGTACTAATAAGAGAGTGCGAGAGAAGGAATGGAGGAGGAGCAGGAGAACAGGGAAGACCACAGAAATACACTTCTCTGAGCTTCCTGGGACTGGCTGTGGACACTCACCTCTTTTATCTTGACCCAGAGGGAACCCCAGGCCCTCCCTTAGCCCCTGCCCAAGTCCTTCCCTAGGTGTGCCCAGTGCCACTGATTACCCAAAATACCACATCCTTTAACCTGGAGTTCTCTTTCCCCGTGGCATATTGCTACCAGGAGGTTGAGAAGGAGAGTAGGAGGAGTGGCCCCATCCGTCCCACCCAAGGGGCCCAGGAGCCCCACCTTTGGCCGTGGTCCTATCCTGCCTGAAATCCCACATTCCCCTCACCTCCCCCACACAGTGAAGATGCTCAAGGCCCCCTGAAATGCACTCAGGAAGGTCCATCACCAGAGCATCCTAGGAGGGCTCTGGTCCCAGGAGAGGACATTCTGGTTTCTGGGTGGCCCAGGCAGGGGTGAATAAGACACTCAGTGCCCAGAGCCATGATCAAGAGGGCCTGGCCAGGACTCAGAGCTGGGAGCAAGATGAACTTTGCGTGATCCAAAGGAGAGCCCACCTGCTGCCCCTGGATCCTGAGCTCCAGCCTCACTGCTCCCCAGAAGAGGGGAGTCCGGGAAAGACCTGTGGATGGAAGCTTCCTGCATCCCCCCATGTGGTGGGTTGGGTCTGCTCTCACCTCTCAGTTGCTACTCATAGACCTGAGAGGAGAGAGATGTTACAGGCATCGCTGGAGACAGGTGAGCAGAGAACTCTGTAACATTCTCATCCATGCCCTCAGCAAAACAAGGTCCCTATGGACCGGAACCAAGTCAAGGATCTGATCAAGAAGCTAGAAGAGACCAAGGGCATGGTGAACTTCAGGTGAGCCCAAGCCCAGGTCCTACCCCTGTGCTCCAAGGAGATCCTGAGGTGCACATGAGTTCCTGGGGCCACCAGGCTGTGCTCTATGAGGGAGAGCCTGTCCAGTGCAGTGGCCTCATCGCTGTGCACCTTCCTTGCCATCTGCAGCTCCCTCCTGTAATGAAGCTTGAGCCGTGGTCCTGCCTTGGGGGCCAGGCAGGCGCTGCCACCCACAGGAGAGAGATGAGATGCACCTGCTCGGGCCCTGCCCAGGTGAGGAGAGGAACTGGGGTGTGTGCCAGTTCCCAGCCAGGGTATTGATGTTTCAGCTGGCTCTGGCAAAACCAATAGAGACAAATAAGAGGGCCAGCGGAGGGTCCTGGAGGTGCCCAGATTGCAGCAGGTGCCAAGTCCAGCAAGTGTGCAGACAGGGTCAGGTGGCCGAGAGGCAGAACTGGGGCTTGGGTTCCCAGGTTCCCAGGTAGGGGTCTCAGGGCCACCTCCAATCATCCCTTAGAATGCATGCACGAGGGGCTGGGGATTTAGCTCAGCGGCATAAGCACCTGCCTTGCAAGCAGGCAGTCGTGAGTTCGATCCCTGGTACCAATAAAAAAAAACGAAAAAGACCCCCCCCAAAAAAAAGAATGCATGCACGGCTTTGTGGAGTCTGCTGGAAGAGCAGAACTGTAGCTTTATAACTGCGTGAATCTTTTCCCTTTTTTGTTACAAAAATCTATCTCCTTATAAAAATCTAAATCCAAGCCGGGCGTGGTGGCTCACGCCTGTAATCCCAGCACTTGGGAGGCTGAGGTGGGAGGATCGTCGCGAGTTCGAGACCAGCCTGGGCTACAAAGTGAGCTCAAGGCCAGCCTGAACTGCATAGTGAAACCCTGTCTCAAAAAGACAAAAAAAAATCATCTAAACCCACAGATGAATAGCAAAAAGAAAATGAAGGTCCTCTTAAGTCTCCCCCACCCAGTTCATTCTGCTTCCACAAATGGCTCTTGAGACAAATTCAGGGGAGCGTCTCATGCCTTTTCATGTACTCATAACTGTGTGTGTGTGCACATGCATGTGCATGCAGGAACATAAGTGTAGGTGTAAGAAAGAGAATAGTTTAAAGCACAGGCTCGGGATGGGAATATAGCTCAGCAGCACAACACCTGCCTGGCAAGCGTGAGGTCATAAGTTTGATTTCCGGTACCCAAAAAAAAAAAAGCATGGGCTCCAGGGCCGCACTGCCCGAGTTCTAATCCCGGCTCCCAGCTCCCCAAGTCAGTCTCTGTGCCTCGATTCCTCTTCTGTGTGATGGGGCCAATAATTGTAACCGCAGCTCAGGAGTTTCTGAGGATCAAAGGAGATGCTGCCTGTGGGGCATCTGGAGCACTGCTTGGCACACGGTAGGTACACTCATAGCACACACACATGTGCTCTTAATACAGATTATTTCAGACACAGGACAGGCGTGTGAACATAAACAGAATCAGACCTCTGGACTTGCTTTGCCTTTGACAGCACATCTTGGTGACCTTTCTATTTAGATCCATCTCAGACTTTTTAACTGTCACATGGTACAGCCACCCCGCAATTTGATCTCATTTTCATGGGCATTGGAGCTAATATTTTTCTGCTATGAATAGCAGTCACGCACAGCCACCTGTATAGTGTCTGCACATCTGCATTCCCCTAATACAGGTTTGTGGGGTGTACCCTGTATGGCTGGTCAGAGAGTATGCACACTCTAAAATTTAAATCTCTGATCCCAGGCCAGTCGTGTAAATCACTCTGCAGCCGCAGGCCGACACTGAATTTAAACTACATTCAACCTTCTGCCAAGATGACAGTTTTCCAAATGTCTTCTTTGAACCTGAGCCACCTAACAGTCTCCCCCATCAGCCAAGAACCTTCATGGACCTGCTCCTGATTCCCTGGCCTTTCAAGCCGGTTCCTTCAGAGTGCGAAAGTCCCTGTGAGGGTGGAGTCCCCTGGCAAGGGGGACAGTGGCAGCAAGGAGAGAAGAATCGACAAGTGCCATGGCCAGGGCTGCACACAAGTGAATAAAATCCTGCTTGATTCTGGGCACCTCGGGGCTGCTGGTGGTGTACCCTGTGCAGGGGCAGCGAGCCTCCAACTTTTAGGACCACTGGTGGGCAGGTTCTGGGAGACCTTGTAAAGAGCCTCACAGACAAACTGGGAATGTAGTGGGCTCTCTGGGCAGAATGAGCCACCAGGAAGAAGCCAGAGCACAAACGCAGGTGTTCCAGGGTGGAGGTTAGGGGCAGAGGACACCGAGACTGAGGAGGGGGGAGATTAGAAGCAAATCCCAAGGGTTCACAATCAGGGAGCCCAGGGCAGGAGATCAAGAGACCTGGCACCAAGCTGTGGCCAGCACCACCTGAAGTTTGTACCTCAGTGGTTCCACCTGAGAAATGGGAACAATGAAATGACTTCCTGATCCATCCCAGAATTCTTCCCTCTCATCTCCCCTCCATTCTTCTTTCTTTCTTTCTTTCTTTCTTTCTTTCTTTCTTTTTCTTTCTTCCCACAGCTTTAAGGATGAAACCCAGAGTCTGACACATGCTAGGCAAGCACTGAATCACATTCCTAGCCCATGTTTAATCACATTCCTAGCCCATGTATATCTTCATCCAATTGTAAACTTTATTTTGAAACTAGATCTTGCTGTGTATCCCAGGCTGGTCTCGAATTTGCCGTCCTCCTGCCTCAGCCTCCCAGTAGCTGGGAATAATGGCCGGATACCAACAAGGGCAGGCACGGGATCAGATAGTCAGAGGGGTTCCCCTAACACACAAGCACTGCGTAAGGCTCACTCCTGCGTGTATTCCTCCAGGTGCATTTCCATCAACCAGGTGGTGAAATGGGGGCTCGGAATCAAAATTAGGATGGGGAAAATAAAAAAAGCAACAAGAAACTCATAGGCACGTTAAGTGCTCTGTGCACACCTGGCCTGTCTACCTTTCAAAACTTTCATAATCCACGAAATTCTCTCTGTTCTCTGCCTCTAACCAGGCATCCAAAAACTGCTGGCGTCTGGGTGGGACCCTAAGAATTAAGGGGGCCAGAAGAAGCAGCCATGCAGCATCCAAATGTGTACTGAACAAATTGCAGGCCTGTGATGGTTACAGATCAATAAAACTGATATTTTTCCAAAATACTTAACACCTTTTACATAACATTGAAAAGACAACAATTATTCTTCCCTGCTTTTGTTTTGAGTGGATTTTGGAAATGATGCGGATCACGAGGGGCTAAAATCTACCCCCACCCCAACCCGGGCCCTGCAGGCCACCCCTCGACACGGGGTGCTCCCCAAGTAAGCGAGGGCTGAGTGACCAAGCCCTAAAGCTGCCCAAACCCGAAGTCATTCCGTCTGTGGCCGCTAGGTGGCAGGTCAGCCCCAAAAGTCCCAACGAGGACGTTTTGAAAAGTTCCCTGAATTCTAAGTCTGCGGTGCACTTCTTCAGACCTCCACCCCCACGACAGTTTCTGCTCCAAGACCCCAGCCTGACATCCGAGCCCCAAAGATCCAGCAGCTGATACCTGGACAGATCGTGCCACACTTGTGTTCAAATTGTTCCCATCACGATTCAGGGTTACTGATGGCTCCATTGCATCCTTGCAAAGAGAAAGAAAATTAGGTGCCCAGGCAGAGCTCCATAGACTGGCAGTGCCCTCCAGACAGCCCGTCCTCCATCCCCAGCTCCGTGCATCTTGAAGCACCAGGAGGGGGGCCCCCGGGAGACTCCGTGCAGTGACGACTGTTTACAGTTGCCAAAGTGGAGGCCTGGAGAAACCAAGCTCCTGCCCAGGGTCCCCCAGCAAGTGAGGGGCAATGTCGAGAAGCAGCCCCTGGCGGTGCGGCTTTGACTCCCCGAGGTCTTAACCACTATGCTTCCCGGCCCCTCTGCGGCGACTTGGGGCAGCATTAAATGCACTCTTTCCACTGGCTCCCTTTCTGAGCCCAGAGAGGAATAAATAATGATAGCAGACAAGCTCTGGCCAGGCCGGACTGACCAACAGGAGTAACATATGGGAATGAAACTCCCAGCCTACTAGATGTTCCGAACGAGTTCGTGTTCGCTAAAACCAAAGAATGGATTTTAGGAACAATGGAGGTTAAGAGCAGAATATACCTATTGAGAGAAAAAAAGCTGCTTGTCTGAGAGAGAGACAGAAGGAGTCCCAAGTGGGTTACTGTCGGGGTCGCTCCCGGCCGGCAGGAAAGACACACGACAAAGTCTGGCGGTGTGCAACCTTGCCTTTATTTGTCTCCGCGTGGGCCCCGCGAGGCCTCCTCTCTGCCACCAGCCCTTTCTCGCCAGTGGACTTTCTCTATCTCTCTCTGTGCTTTCTCTGTGCTTCTCCCTTGTGGCGGGAGAGGCATTTACTTTTATAGGGTAACAGTGGCCAATCAGTTCAAAGCGCGCGATGCGGGCTGATTGGCTAACATCAGTTGTTGCTAGGCAGACTATCTTACAGAGCGGGTTGTTTAAGTCGCCAGCGCAATCAGGGGGCAGGAAGCAGGCGCCAACTTGACTCACTCGATGGGAGGGGCAATCTAGCTCAGGCTCCGCTCCCACCCACAGGCCCTACGTCCGCCAAGTAAGGCGACCGGTGTCGGCCGTGGCTCCCAACATCTCCCCCTAATTTATTTACTTTGAATGAATGTATGCATCGCAGCCCGCCCTGGATCGAGTGCAGAGGCTTATGCCCTGTGTTGAGGCCCACCGTAGGCCCTTGGCTTGGACCCTGGTCGGCCGCCCCCGGGTCTGCCAAGGCCTTGAGACCCTCGTCCTTTTTCCAGGGCCAGGAGTGAACTGGACGGAACCTGGATGCACATAGGCATGCACTCATGCCCCTCCGTGTGATCCCCTCGGAGAGGCATCTAGATCTGGTCAGATTCTAGTAATCCAGCGGCTTTCGTGCGCCATGGGGTAGGGCCTGGCTTAGGTCGAGTCGTGCTGGGGAGGCACGCTCTTACCCGTCATTGACTCACCTACCCTGCTGTGTGGTGTCATTAGGGAAGGAATGCGGAAGACCCGCCACACCTAGACCCGGTCGTAGGCCAGAGCGAGCCATGCGTAGGCCTGGGGGTCATTGTGCCCATCACGGGCTGCTGCCAGGGCTGCATGGGCAACCAGGCGTACTTGACGCCGGGCCGCCGCAAGGCACCCATTAATAAATGATGTGACCCATCGGAGCAAGAATGGTCCTACAAGTAAGAACAGAAGCAAGGAGCACAGGGGACCTAACAATGGTAAAACATAGGGGAGCAAGCCATTCCAGGCTCCCCAAAAAGGGATTGTCCTGCAGTTTTTTTAGGGCTCATCTTGTTGTTGGGTCTGCGGTTGGCCTCTGGTGGAACAGGCCTGATCTTTAGTCGAGGGACTTGTCGCGTCAACCTCTCTGGGACCCACAGTGGTTTTCGTCCCGGTTCCTGCGGAAAAACACAAACCGCGCCTCGGTTCCAGCTAACCACTGGATCCGGGCCCATCCATTGTCATGCCATAGATAACCGCGCCTTTGGAGGCAGGCCTTGGCTTACTCCCCCTTTTTGTTTTTTATTTTTTATTTTTTATTTTTTTTTATTTTTGGTCTTTTTCGTTTTTTTTTTTTTTTTTTTTTTTTTTATCGTTGCCAGGGATCGAACTCGCGATTGCCTGCTTACAAGGCAGGCGCTTATGCCGCTAAGCTAAATCCCCAGCCCCCGTTTCCTCAACCGGCGTTTTTCTCAGCCTGCTCGGCAGAGTAGCCGCCCATGAAAATACCGTCCGCCCCGCGGCGCAACGTCATAGGACGGCGGTCGAGACAGAGTGGAACGGGGCGTCACTTCCTGTGCCGGCTGAGAGAAGGGAGGGTTCCCTGTAGCGGCCTCTCGGCGGGGAGCCGCTTCTGGAAAAGAGCTCCAGGGCGGAGCGGATGGCTCTCTATCTCCTCCCCGCCAGAGAGCGCTCGGGGGCCCTTTCTCCTCTCTCTGCTTTTTTCGAGCGGCGCACGCACACAATTCGCGGCGCAACTCGGCATAGGAGTCAAGGCATGCATGTATCATTTTCCACAGGGGGCGAATAGCCGGCGAAATATCGCCTCCCAATTCCGCCGAGGCGAGGTCCCCGCCTAACTTCTCCCATGACGGCAGGTTTAAATGCCCTGTGGGTAAAAACCAGGGAGCCACCCTATCTACCTCTGCTATGAATAGTTTCAGTGTTTTTTGACCTACCCTGAGGTCTCTAGCTTTTAAAAGCTTCCTAAGGGCCTTCACCAAGGGCCGCGCCTCCGCGCTCGGTAAATTACCCATCCTCAACCTCTAAGGGCTGTTACTCACCGCGTGTGACTTAGAGAACCCGTCACCTACGCGTGAGCCTGAGGGGAGTCTAAAAGCCCTGTAGGTGCGCGCCACCCAGAGCCCAGGCTTATCCCCAACTCACCTGTCCGGCAGCACCACGCTGGAGCGTTGCACACCACCACCGTGTCTCGGGGTTGATCAGTCCCCGAGCGGGTCACCAAATGTCGGGGTCGCTCCCAGCCGGCAGGAAAGACACACGACAAAGTCTGGCGGTGTGCAACCTTGCCTTTATTTGTCTCCTCGTGGGCCCCGCGAGGCCTCCTCTCTGCCACCAGCCCTTTCTCGCCAGTGGACTTTCTCTATCTCTCTCTGTGCTTTCTCTGTGCTTCTCCCTTGTGGCGGGAGAGGCATTTACTTTTATAGGGTAACAGTGGCCAATCAGTTCAAAGCGCGCGATGCGGGCTGATTGGCTAACATCAGTTGTTGCTAGGCAGACTATCTTACAGAGCGGGTTGTTTAAGTCGCCAGCGCAATCAGGGGGCAGGAAGCAGGCGCCAACTTGACTCACTCGATGGGAGGGGCAATCTAGCTCAGGCTCCGCTCCCACCCACAGGCCCTACGTCCGCCAAGTAAGGCGACCGGTGTCTGCCGCGGCTCCCAACAGGTTACCAAAGACTCTTTTTTCGAGGGACTTTATTATAGAGTAAAACCGGTCCAAGTGGGGGGGGGACACCTCAAAACATGGGCATAAAGTGGAACAGAACTGTGGTCAACCCATAAGATTGCTTGCCCGGGTAAAACTGATTAAATCAGGAGCAAATGGGAAAGCAAGTCACATAGTAAGCAGGCATACTTATCAGCTGTGCCCCTTCCTG